GCGCGAGATGTCACGTTTGCCGCCAAGATGAAGAACGACCCTGCAGAGGTCAACATTGAACAACTGGTAGACGAAACGCTGGAGCGGGTAGGTCTCACCCACGTTGCTGATCAGCAAGCTGGTACCATCTACCGACGCGGTCTCTCCGGCGGCCAAAAGCGTCGCTGCTCCGTCGGCATTGAACTTGTGTCCCGCCCCAAGCTCATGTGTTTGGATGAGGTATGCGCCGTCTTCCGTGTTTTGCTTCACTCTCTATGCGCGCCCCTACCTGCAAACACACACACGCACGATGAGGTTTTGGCCCCTCCATCTCACCGGTTGCACATGCCCTTTTGTTCCCAGCCCACCTCGGGCCTTGATTCATCATCTGCCATCGAGCTGATTGGCACCATCCGCCAGCTGGTCGATTCGTCAAAGGGCGACATGGGCGTCATTCTGTCCATTCACCAGCCCAGTCCTGAGCTCTTGGCCTTTTTCGATGATGTACGAGCGTCGACTCGCTTCTTCACCGCTCGCCCTCTTGGAACAGAACATCACGTTCATGCCCCTGGCTACCCCCCTTCGTTTCTAGGTCTTGATCCTGGCCGATCAAGGTTGCGCCTACTTTGGCCCCGTGGACGGGGCCGTCCGCTACTTTGACGACCTGGGCTATACCCTTCCGGAAGGCATCACAGCCACCGACTTTGTCCTGCAGGTCAATAAAAGGAGGGCCTCGCATTTTGCTCCTCGCACCTGGCCGTACTCACACCCTTGTGTTTGCGACATGCTTGCCTTGAAATGGCAGATTCTGGACAAGGAGAGCGGGGCCGCTGCTGCCAACTGGACCGAAGAAATCAACTTTGCTGCAAGCTATGCTGACACAAAACGCAACAAATACATCTCCAAGATTCCCGATATGCAAATGCAAGGCGCCATCCTCTCAACCGGCATTATCAAAAACACTTTGCTCGAAGCGTACGTATCGCTTCAAACGCTGAGAAATCCAACCACGAGCTTTCTCGATTTGATTGCGTGCCAAGCTGACTTACCCACTTGTGTGCGTTTACCGCAGTACCTGGATTATGCAATACTGGATGCTTTTGAAGCGATTCTTCTTGATTGCTCGGCGCGATCTGTCCCTGTATTATATGCAGGTCGGTGCAAAGCGTTTGCTGTGATCAATTTCGTCCCACCAGAAGCAGAAAAGGCTTCCAGATTACACGGACTCACTTGGACCTTGCCGTCGTTGCCGTCCTGTACGCGCACCCTCTCTGGTGTCTTAGATTATCCTGCAAGCTGTGTACGGTTTTTTGACTGGTGCATCCTTTTACCAGCTTAGCGCGACCATTGATGGTCGTATCAATGATGTTTTCTCTGGCCTAATCTGGGTTCTGGGCACAGCCGGTTTCATTCATGCTTGCAAGTATGTGATTGTATTTGAGCGTGATGCACTTGTCACTTGAATGGTTCTTCCCAGACTGGGTTGAACACGCAGATTAGCGCCCGTAAGCCTCTCTGACCACGAGACCTTTTTTTCCACGTATGCACTTGTACTACGTCATGATCAGGGTGTTCTATTGGACGGACATGCTGCGAGTCTTCCGGCATGAGCGAGGCAATGGCACCTACCGTGTGCTGCCTTACTTTCTGGCCGAGTTGACCTGTACTCTCATCATGTTTATTCCCTTCTGGATTGGGCCCATCATTGGTGCGAAGCGCCCTGGACGTTGTCGAACCCCGTCACCCTGCGATTCCCCACTTATCGTGCTGTGCGCGGTCTATAGGCTTTTTCATGGTGGATCTGCCGGCTGAACGCTTCGGCTTTTTCCTTCTCTTGACGTATTTCCTCAACTTTACAGCCGAAGCCACGGGTCACAGCATAGTCCAGATCACGGGTACCAATGCGACTATCGGCACCATGATTTACCAGGTCGGTCCGTTCAGGCTGGAACACGCACGCATGCGTGTTTCTGCGTGGTGTTATACAAAGGGCATTTGTACAGAACGGGCTGTCCTGCTTCTTCTTGAGTGTGTGCCACCCTGACGCTGCCGGTGTGATTTGGAATCAACTAGGGCTTTTTGGCCATCATGTTTCCATTTGCGGCTGGAGTCTTCATTCGCGACGGCGAGGTTCCCGACTGGTGGTCCTGGCTTCCTCCTCTCTCGTTGTTTCAGCACGCCACGGGTGCCATGGTGACGGACCTCTGGCCATCCATCACCTATACCTGTATGTTGTGTCTGCTTCGCTGACGTGGCTTTTCGCGCTCCGTGCGCGTACACACACACACACACACACACACACACACACACACACACACACATACAACCCCACGGGCTCGCTTGGCTATTACCCGGCCTGGCTCATTGCTTGTGTGCGCTATCCCCTTCCACTAGGTGGTTCGACTTTGACGCCAGAGGGAAGCTGTGTATACAGTGGCGTGACGTTTCCCTGCGATCGTGGATTCAATGCCACCGAGGGTAGCTGTTTTGTTTCTGGAAAAACGGTGCGCGCAAACTTGACGTGTTGCAACCTGCTCTTTGCTCCCCTCGCTGTGAATGCATCTCACGGGTGCTTACAATGATGACCCAATGTTCATGCAGACCTATGAGTTGTACAAAGACATTGATGGCAAGCCTTACGAAGAGTTGGGCTACCTCATCCTCATCGGTTGTGTCCATCGGCTCTTTGTGCTGGCCACCTACTACATCTCGGTACCGCGCATGGCTGCGTAAGTTTTGCAGGCATCACACTTTGACCATGAGAAAGCACGCGTCGTGCCTTCGCCCTACCGGTTCTCGAACACAGTCTTACCATCCGTTGTGCCAACTCTACAGTGGTGTGCACAACTTTTTCCGCTCAAAGCTGCGTTCCCGTGTCATCGAGCTCTCCTACGACAATCTACAACTGCGGACAATTGTACGTGTTTCCCAACCGCCCCCTTAACCAATGCATGCACGTGAATAGACAGACTAGCTCCGACTCATTTGGTTGGGTTGATACTCGATCAGGTTAATGCTTTGCGCCAGCGCCTGGACTTGGATTCGGTAACGGAATCTCCTGCTGCTGAGGAGCCAATCCCGCACAACCTGCCACTGACACGCGAGGACAGCCACAGTCCACACGATGGCAATTCTGGGCTGATTTTCCATGATGTTAGTGTCACACTGCCTTCCGGCAAGTGCCTGCTCCAACCCATGAGTGGCTTTGCACGTCGCGGACGCGTGACCGCTCTGATGGGTCCCTCGGGAGCCGGTAAGTCGACCGTGCCTGGAGACTTTGAGGTTGATCCGCGTGTGCTTTCGTTGAACCACGTCGTGCACGCATTTGACAAACATTGTGGGGTTGATGGTAGGCAAAACGACGCTGTTGAATGCACTTTGCGGCCGAGCACCCTACGCCAATGTGGATGGTATTGTAACCTATGAAGACTTTTTGTTTGACAAGTCTCTGCTCGACTACGTTCCCCAATTCGATACCATTCCAAGTGCGTCGGCTGGTGCTTGACTTGATCTCGATCTTGATAAGACCATCATCTGCTTGTTTGATGACCAAGTGCTGTTTACACCGGACTTATGCACAGCTTTTTCTTCGCGTGCATAGGTGTCTTTTCCCCGGCAGAGCTGCTGATGCTGACGGCTCGCCTCAAGACCAAGGAAGACGACGCCAACATTGCACGCCATGTGGCAGAGCTGCTGGAGATTGTGGGCCTTTCTCGCTATGCTCGCACTCATTGCGGCAAGCTCACTGGTGGCCAGCTCAAGCGCGTCTCCATTGCACTGGGTCTGATTTCCCGGCCCCGTGTCCTCTTCCTTGACGAGCCTACCACGTACGCTGTCCTATCCTGCGTGCTTGTTGACTGTGCCATCCCATCCCTTACCTGTTCAGTGTTGATCGTTGTACACATCTGTTCCGTTGGTCTCATTCCCAATGTGTGACCATAGGGGCCTCGACTCAGCCGCGGCCTTCAGCATCATCCATTACATCAACCGCGTCGCCAAGCGCCTGAACGTGGTCGTTATCTGCACCATCCATCAGCCTGCCCAACCCGTTTTTGAGCTGATCGACGACTTGATTCTTCTTGCGCCTGGTATGTGTCTATGTGTCTATGTGTCTATGTGTGTGTGTGTGTGTTTGGAATCAGTTTGAAGATCATGTATTTGCATACGACAGCATCAACACTGCATTACTCCGCTGGCTCAACGTTCCTCGGTATTTGTGACAGGAGGTGAATTGGCCTTTTTTGGTCCAGTCAGCCGGGCCAAGAGTTTCTTCCAGGACCTGGGTGCCCCCGTGCCCGAGAGCGACAATCCTGCTGGTGCGGTTACGCTCGCCTGCAAGCATCGCAAACTCTTCTGAGCTCCTGCCTAACTGTTCCTATCACATTTATAGATGTATATCTGAATCTTGTGAGCCAACCCGCGGCTGCCATTCTGCCAGGGTCAGTGCAAAGTGCTAGTTTTTACATTATCTTTTCGCCCCCCGATTGACCGCGCTCATGCCCCGATGTACACACTGTTTTGTTTTCCATCGCAGGCACTCGGATGGTGTCACGTGGTCCAGCGTCTTTGCTACAAACAAGCACGCCACCGCTGTGCCAGCATTGGGAAATGCTTCGCCAGCGCGCAAGGCAGACGTGCCCACGGAAATGACTCGTTTTGGCCTGCTACTGAAGCATTACCTGACCTTTTATTGGCGTGACCGCTCTGTGTATCTCTACCGTGCCGTGGCCTACATTGTGCTGGCTTTGTTTTTGGGCACCTTGTTCTTGCGCCTTGACCACACCACGGCACGCATCCCAGAAATTTCTGGAGCAGCGTTTTTTGCTATCTACGTACGTTTGTCAGGTTGACCCCACTCATCTGGTCACCCACGTTGGTGTGCTACAGCTCTCCCGCTGCTGCATTGCGCTCACTTCTGTCAAACTGTCGTGTGCCTGCTTTGAACATTGGGTTAGATGATCATGTTTGTGACTGTATCGAGCGTGGCCACCCATACCTCGGACCGTTTTGTCATGGCTCATGCCTATGCAAGCAATCAGTACAAACTTAAGACCTGGACCTTGGCTCAGTTTCTCGGCGCTCTGCCCTACACGGTCTTGGGTGCTGTGGCCTTTCAAGTCGTCTTTCATTGGCTAGGTGGCCTGAATGATTCCTTCGACGCATTCATCTATCAAGTCTTAGCCAATGTTGTGCTTCAATGGGTGATGGAGGCCATTGCATGGTCTGCCATTGAAACATTTCAAAATGCCATGATGGCCGTGACCATGACCCTGGTTCAGGTGGCTTCCCTCTTTCTCTACTCTGGATTTTTTATTCGGGTACGTCGAACCCTGGCCGGGCTGCGATGGTGCTTTGGTCGCCGCGTGTGGACGCCTGTTTCGTTGCTCACTTGGATTGTGTGACTCGTCGACTTTGTCATTTGCTTCCATCTTTGCCAGCCTGAGGACATGGCACCGGGCGTGGCCTGGATTACATGGCTGATGCCCACGCGCTACATGCTCCGAGGCGTGTTTGTGAACTACTTTGATGGGCAAGACTTTTACGATCCACCCACGGGCATGACGGTATCAGGCGAGTCAATTTTGCAGTCTGTCTTTGACATTGACGTGGATGAGAACAACCGCTGGGTCATGTGGGTCATCACCTTGGCTTGGGTGGTTCTCCTGCGCCTTGGCCATTACGGCTCGATGGTCCACCATCTCAAGCACCTCGGCGCAGCCATCGGCAATCCGACCACTGCCCGGACTGCAGACAGCAAAGCCGTCAGTTCTCAGCGCACCAACGATGTTGCGTTGGAGAGCGTGCAGTCACATGCCACTGTGCCCGCTTCGTCCATCCTCACGACGACCGTTCCTCCCTCGCAAAGCATTGCGGTCACCCCCGCCCAGCATCCGCCGGTCACTTTTAGTACCGATATGGTATAGCCAACTCCACTTGTAGAATCCACATTGACATTGTCCTTTTATTTCCCTTTCTTCTCTTGTTTCTCGGAGTTGTTGAGTTCTGCTCGGAGAACGTCCCCCAGACCGCCCAATCCAAGATCCGATCTATCCTGAAAAAATTGCTACGTTCACATCTGCCTTCTTCGGTGTGAGGTCGGGGAGGGGGTTCTGGTCCACACGGCATCAGATCTCAGAGTATTAAAAACACACAAATGCGCACACTCTCCACACACTCCACACGCACACAGAGCACCGCTGCATCATGTCCAAACTTGATGAACAAGCCAGGACAAATAAAAAACGGAAAAAAACGGAAAAAACCGGAAAAAACCGGAAATGGCGAGTGATGAAAGTCATCACATCGTAGGCATTTTATTTTGAATCAAGCAACTGGAGCAATGGCGACACAGGAGGCAGCGGAGTGCACCAGCTCTGCTGCTCAGTCAGACGGCAGCGTGGAATCGGCATCAGTTGGAAATACCTACGTGGGCACTTCGGGTTATGTGTACGCTCACTGGCGACAGGGTGCCTTTTATCCGACAGGAACGAAACAGGCCAAAGAGCTGGAATACTACAGCGGTCGACTGTCGGCCGTTGAGGTCAATGCGACCTACCACGGTCTGCAGACGGTTGAAACGCTGCGCAAGTGGCAGACCAATGCCCGGCGAGGGTTCAAGTTTGTGCTCAAGGCCCATCAGGACATTACACATCGATCACGTCTACATAACGTCGACAGTCTGTGGCAGGTTTTTGTGGATCGGGCTGTGGACGGGCTCGGTGATGCACTAGGCCCATGCCTCGTCCAACTGCCACCGTCCTTTGCCCGGACACCGCAGACAATGGCTGATCTTCAGACATTTTTGGCGCTTCCTCGTCGTGGGTTGAGACTTGCCTTTGAGTTTCGCCATCGCAGCTGGTACACTGAGGTGCGGTGCGCGCCTGGTCAGCAATACGCACCGTTGGTCCTTCTCTCTGCACCTGCGAGGCTCACTGCAGCTCATGTCTGCTTGCTGCACAGGAAGTGTATGCCATGATGTCAACTCACAACGCCTGTATCGTGGATAATGTATCTCCCGACGGCACCACGCTGCGCTGCGAGCGGATTACTGCCGATTTTGGCTATACACGCATGCACAAGCGACTGAAACCCGATGGAGGGCCTGACACGACCAACTACACGGCTGAGCTCCTGACGCCTTTGTTGCCCACTCTGATGGCCCAACGGCAAAACGGAAAGGACCACTATGTGTTTTTCATGAACGATCTCAACGCTCATGGTCCACACAATGGCGTGGAGTTGCAAAGGCTTCTGGCGGCCCAGCTCAAGGCAGAGGGCAGAGAAGCAGAACCGGCGCTCGTCACCAACTGGCACCCTCTTTCACGCGAAACGCAGAAGGGGGCACTGAAGCGCATGTTCAAGCAGGCTCACGGGCGTCCATCCACAGCAGGCACAGCAGGCGCAGCAGGCACAGCAGGAGCGCCCTTGTCCTCTGCATCGGTCTGCGATGCGACCGCGGCCACGACAGCACACAGGAGTGTGAGTGCCATGTTGCCGGTCTCGTCCAAGCAGGCCAGCGAACGGGGGTCGTCCCATGGAGGATCTCCTCGAAGCAAGGCCCCCAAAAGGGGTCAGCCATCTATTCAATCATTCTTCAAGAAATAGTGCACCCCGCGTCATAATAGAGTTGCTTGTATCTTGCCCCTTTGCCCGCTGAGCGGGCCAAACATGCCACACCAGGCAATGTAGACCCAGGACCTGGTGTGAAGGATTTGCTTGCTGCACCAATTATTGCATGCAGCAGTTGTTGTCAATTGAAGTGCGCATTGCTTCAAGCCCGTGGACACAAAATGAAGAGACCTGACGAGGCCGGGCATTGAATTGCTTGACCCAAGGTTGAAATCCCGCGTTAACAACCTCACACAGGCACAGACTTGCTCCAGTTTAAGGATTGCTGTCCCACGCGTCAACGTGCACCGAGCCATCCAACTGAGGGAAGCGCTTGAAAAAGGTCTGCCCGATATGCAACCCCCGCCATGAAGCAAAGTGGTGAGAGCAAGCATGTCTGAAAAAAACAAAAAGTTGCGGGGCGGGAAGAGACGGACAAACCTTGAACAGATCAATGGCATAGGCAACATCCTTGACACCTCCCATTTCTCGGATCGAGTGCATGGCCAGTTGGGGATTGCCAACGTCAATCGTGCGAATACCCAGTCCCGAAGCCAGAATGGGGCCGATGGTGCTGCCGCAACCCATATCCTGACGCACCACAAAGTCCTATTGTTTTTAGTCATTCACGCGCACCCAAGATGAGAAAAAGCAAGAAGAGCCACGGTCATTCACACTAGCGCCTTTCATGAATGTCAAGCGTTGAACAGTGCAGAAGGATGAGGCAAACTTCGTTGCGCCCAGGTGTGAAGGGACAACCTGAAGGGGAACGCCGGCCTTCTTGGCCAGCAAGCGGAGGATTGAGGCTGTGACGGCATTGGTGGCATAGCGCTGGTTGGCGTTGAACTTGATGACAACACCTGTTGCAAAACCAATAACAATGAGCTGGCAGAAAAGACAGCGAATGCATTCCAAGGCGAGCTTGTCAGGAAGAGACACGACACACCCTGGTTCATCTTGGGGCGATGGAGGCCTTCGTGCTTTTCACTAGAAAAAGGGAAAGGGCAGCGACACGCCACCACCACATGTGAGAGATAGGCACGGTATATATATACACTTGGACCGCCTAAGAAAAACAAAAAGAAACATTTGAACACACACCCGCGGTTCATGTGAACGGCATGGGCCATGTCAGCAGAGATGACAAAGGAGTTGGCCATGGCCCGTGCAAAGTTTTCAGCGCCATCGCCACACAGGCGACGCAGCGTGTGGTCAAAAAGCGCCGAGCCCGCGCCCTGGGCACTGTCCGAGCCCACTTCTTCGTGGTCGAATAGAGCAATCAGGCGGATGCTGGGGTCTTCAGCAAGACTACCCTCCTTGGCCACCGAGGCCAGCAAAGCCTATCAGCAAAAAAGGATCAGTTGGGGTGTAAAAGGGCGGTATGGATCGAGCAAGGCGCTATTGCGACCAGGGTGAACCGACCTTGAGGGCACAGAATGAGCTGTTCAAATTGTCTAAACGAGGGGCAAGAATAAACTCGTTGTGCAAGCCTCCGATGGCCTACACGCATTACACATGCCAGTTTGTCACGAGTTGAATGTGGTCCGAGCAAACATGCTCCCCACTACCCTTCCCTCTCCCTTGGTGGATGCGTGGCACGGTACCGAAGGTTGGGTGTCAAAGAGACACATTTCAAAATCCAAGATGCGATCCGGCGAAACGCCACATTCCGTCGCGATCAGCTCGACAAGGGCAGCGTGATGATGACCTTGCTGATTGATGTCGCTCTATTCCGGCAGGCAATGCATATGCAGAGTACGTCGGTGAAGGGAGGGTGAGGAGCCCGAGTTGGTCACACGCGCTTGGTGCAGACCGGCGGAATTGTCCCGGGTATGATTGCATTTGTGTTCATCGCACCCATTCACCATCGGCATCTTCTTTTTCCTTCTTGGCATTGAGCTGAGCTTCAGCCTCGGTGGCCAGAACAGCCGCAAGGTGTGTTTCCTTGTTGGGGTTGAAACCATTGGTGTAGATGTCACGCTAAAATTGAAAACCATCGAGTGAGGCAGTGGCTGACGAGGTGTTTTTTTGAGAATATCATGCCACCGATTTGGGTGGGCGCAGGGCTACGCACGTCGAGGTGAATGGCCAAGTTGGGCACGCGCAGGATAGGGCGGTTAATGCGCACCAGATGCTGGCTGACACCACCCTGAGAAACATGGCCAAAATAGGCAAACAGCGCAATTGGTGAATCACATTGCCTCGCAGAACAAGTAAAGATGAAAATTCTAGGGTACAGAGCCAATAAACAGGGGCACATGTTTCTTACATCGTCGTTGCCAACCATGACCCGGCCGGCAATGCCGAGGTCGCGGTCGAACCAAGTGTGCCAAAGGCCGCCACCATAGCATTCAACAGCCACGCCCAGATAGCCTGAGAGGCACATTCAGCCATATCAAGCAACAACCACATGCAGCAGAGTTGCAGAGAGCCAGGTCAGGAGGAAAATATAGGTGCAGGTGAGAAGAGGAGCAAAAATTGACCAGGGGCGTACCCTCACGAGCAATCTTGCTGTTTGGCTTGACCTAACTCGCAATCCAAATCCGCAAGTGAGTTGGAAAGCTGGCAGCTCGGTCGCAGAGTCTAGGCAGAGTCGAATGGGGCGTGGTCCACAATACTCACACGGAGGCAGGGGGAATCGGTGTGGGCGCCGACAATCGAGAACCCGTGACCTGGCTGCCACTGCTCACCGACGGTAAATGCCACCAGGGTGGACTGGTTACGAGTAAAGTAGTACTGCAGGGTGCAAACACAAGGCAAGTGTTACGACAGAGAGTACGCCGACCTTTCGGCAAAGGCAATGCCGAATGGCAAAAGAAGATGAAGGGGCCAAGAACCGTACCTTGCCACCCTTGTCAATGTTCCAGGCGTCACCTTCACAGAGTTCTTCAAACTCATTTTCACTGAGAAGGGTCTTGGCAGCCTCAACCGCTGTATAACGTGGGGCCATGGTTGAGCGAAGAACACAAGATGAGGAAATGACATTGCCGATCATTCGTCGTGTCCAAGAGACTTGGCTCATTCACATGCAAAGTTGCTGCAAAAAACTGACCGTGGAACGGGCTTGGGCTGGCATCGACAAACTGCAAAAAGGCCTCGGCGGCTTCGACGGCAGGAGTGGGAGCCATGGTGCTTGTGAAGCGCAAAGGGCGGTACAAACAAACTTTGTGTGGCTGAAACTGGGAGCAGCAAACGGTTGAAAGCCAGCGACCGGGTTGAGATCCGGATCGAACAGTGAGGGGACGAAGACGAGCCAATAGGCGCCAAGTGTTCGACATCAGTTGGCTGCACGATAGGAGGCGCACAGGCAAGACGAAAACAACCACTTGGGTCAGTTCAAGACTGCAATGAACAGTCAACCCAAGGCGAGAAGGCGAGAAGGCGAGAAGGCAAGAGGGCGAGAGGGCAAGAGGGCAAGAGGGCGAGAAGGCGAGAGGGCGCTTGGTGGTATCAAACGCGCGATCGGGTTCAGTGGCCAAGCTTTCAACCCAAACCTTTGTAAGCGGAAGTGTGACTTTTGTAACACTTGAACGGTTCAATGTGTGACCCTCGGAAAAGTGGTTTCGTAAAATTGAATTGATGCAACTCGGAAATAAACTTGACACAGCGAAATGTTCACACGAACACGAGACGTGTGTCGCTCTCTCATCATTTAGAATTTGTGTTGAGCGACCCTGGGCTCCTCGACTGCTGGCAGCTAGAACCTCATCAAACGGACTGGCAGTGGACGGCATGGTGTTCAAGCCAGCATGTGCGGCCTGTGGCCGGGTGTTAGAGCAGGCGCTGCAGTGTTCACGGTGCAAGGCGAGCTATTATTGTAACCGGGAATGCCAACGGCTACAATGGAAGGAACACAAGCGGGTGTGTCGACCTCCGACGGCGGAAACTCCCGGTGGCGGCGGCAGCGGCAGCTCATCGGAAAAGACCAAAGGAGTGGCACCACCACGCGCCTTCAAGGATCGCGTGACGCGCACGTCATTTCGAGATTTTCCAAACGCCGAGTGGTTGCCGGCACCACAGCGCCATCGACCGGACCGCCCCGCGCCCAACTTGCTGATCCTGCTGCATGGTCTTGGAGATGACGAGCAAAAGTTTGCGGCACTGGGACGTAACATGGCACTTCCCGGCATGGAGGTACTCAGTGTGCGGGGTCCGTACGTGGTGCCGCCCGGGGACATGGGCTTTGGATGGTATCCGGCCTACGAGGCAGATGGGGAACTCATCAAGGGCAAACCCGGGGAGCAGCGGCGGATTGCTGGTCTGGATGCGGCGGTGCAACGCCTGCACGGCTTGCTGGACGAGCTGACGGGGATGGGCTGGCACATGCGAGGCGTCTTTTTGCTTGGGTTTGGACAGGGGGCGCTGACGGCGCTCGATGCAGGGCTCTCCTATCGCCAATTGCTGGGCGGGGTGATGGCGTTATCGGGTGGCTGTTTTCTTGAGGAGTACGACGACACGGGCCTCGAGGCTTTGGCCCAGGCCCGTGGCTGGCAGCAAGCAGAGCTGCCATTGCATGTGACCCACTTGACCGCGCCAGTGTATCTGCCGATGGAGCGTGCGATTACCCAGGCGACGCTCCTCAAGCCATGGTGCAAAAAGCTAATTTTTCACAGCTACACGGACAGCCAGCTGTTGGCTTCGGAAGCTCAGGTCCGCGAGCTGTTTGAATATCTGTCCCCGCTCATGGTGACAAGCCTCCACGAGATGTCCCTCAACGGCGAAGTCCATGAAGTGGCCTCGGTGCAGTGACAAAGAGCCGACTGATGCCGAATTGATTTAGCGAAAACAGTGAGCGAGTCTCTTTAATTTGATCTGACAAATGTGATCCCCTCCTGCTGGCAGGCTGCCAACAGCCCGTTCCCCACGGCAAGGTCGTATGCCTTTGTCCCAAAAATAGGAGGTCCTTCTTGTCCCCCCCCCCCATCCCTGCACACGTATTTGATGTGCGGTTTCTTGTTTTTTTGGGTTGTTCATATGGCAGCGCAGAGCTTGATTGAGGGACGCGGCGCGGCTGTCTGGATAACACGCAACCGTCAGCTTGTGTTGATTGCCCAAGCAGCGACAACAAGCAAAATCGTATCATCTCTTTGGAAAACGAGGACATCCATCTCAATCTAATCTAGCTGTCAACGATGAAGTTTCGGAGCCAAATCGACAGGTGGCGTGAGCTCGTCACCAAAAGACGCGTGACGCAGCCAGGCCAAGAAGCCAGCCCACACCGCCAACAGCCTGCCACCGCGAGCCATCGCCGCCCTTGAGCAGCGCATCGGAGTTCAAAGTACATGCATGATTATGGAACATGTACACACACATGAAGAAGCGAGAGTTCGAGAGCAGAGAGAGAGAGAGTTAGAAAAGAGAAGGGTAACAGGTAGAGAGAAAGGTATAGAGAGAGAGAGAGAGAGAGAGAGAGAGAGAGAGAGAGAGAGAGAGAGAGAGAGAGAGAGAGAGAGAGTCAATCAGCTGCTGGCTGCCTGCCATGCACATGTAGCACGATGGGTCAGGACAGAACTAGGCCTGAGAGCTGGGCGCTCCTCTTGGAACACGTCACGTGTAAACAAGTGCAAGAACAGAGAGAGAGAGAGAGAGAGAGATAAAGTCCTTGAAACGCAAAAAGAGAGAGAGAGAGAGAGAGAGAGAGAGAGAGAGAGAGAGAGAGATGAGAGAGAGCGAGAGAGAGCGAGAGAGCGAGAAGGAGCTGACTCGTCTTTTTAGTCTGTGAGCTGCGCTGGGTTGCGCTTCAAGTGCCACATCAACGTGTACATGTATGTATCCGCCCCCGCCCCCGCCCCCCCCCGCCCTGCCCCGCCTTGCGTGTACCATCTCATCTCTCCGCCCACACACTTGCTTTCGCCTTCTCCGTTCCACTCGTTCGTCCATCTCCGCGTTTTCCTGGCATTTTTCTTCCTTGGTGCTATCAGGAGTGATAGCGTCCTCCTCTCCTGCTTCCTCCTCCTCTCTCACCTTCCCCTCCTCCTCCTCTCTCATCGCCACTGCCCACCGGCGTCAACAGCCCAAGCAGGTCTAGCAGTGGGCATCACGCTCTAATCCATATTTTGTTTCAGAGCCCACACTCGTCGGGTTGGGAGCCGTCTTTCTTTTGGATGCCAAGGCCTCCGCAGTCGTGACGCGCATTGCCCCTCAACCCATCGGCACCATGCCGTCCGAGCAGACGGGTCATGGCCGGTCCTTGAGTGCGTCGTCAATCGGGTGCCTGCTCCGTCCATGCGTTTGGGTCGTCCCTCCGGCCATCCTCGTTCTAAATTCCACCACCCTACACTCATCTACCCATATCGCTCCCAATAGAGGCACGTGTGCTGGACACGGTCTGCGAGCTCGTCGTCATGCGGCCCATTGCCGTGGCTGGTTCCGTCATGAGCCTGGCCTTTCTCCTGACGATCAGTACGCTCTTACTATGCGCTGACCACCCCTCTATCTGTGTCCTGCTGATGGAGCCTAACCCTTGCAACTGTGTGCATGTCGCAGTCGGCTTTGTTGCTTATCCTTTTGAGATCGATACGACCGGCACTACCTTTGTGCCAAAATCGAGTGAGGTCTACCGTGTCGCCGAGACCTTCCTCATTACCGAGGAGAAGACCCGTTTCAATCCCTACCGCAATGTCGAAGATTTGGAAGGCATTACTGTGGCACAACAAACCATCGAAGAGTACGCTTGTCTCGCCGTTCTCTCTCTCTCTCTTCTCTCTCTCTCTCTCTCTTTCTCTCTCTCTTTCTCTCTTTTCTCTCTCTCTCCGGCCCGTGGCTACCGGAGCATAGTGGTCATGGTCATGCCATGCTGACATGATGGATTGACGCGCTTTTCCAACTAGGTACCTTCTCACCATGATCGTCGTCGGCAAAGGTGGCGCCAATATCCTGACTACCGAGGGCATCAGTCTCATCAAGAGCACAGTCGACCGCATTCGTGCCCTGCAGCCCGACGCAGATGTGGCTGGCTATTCCGACGTCTGCCTTCGTGGTCAAAACACTGGCGAATGTGCCCCCCTTTCCAGCCTCCTCAAGTATTTTTATGCCACTGAATATCCCGACTGCCCTGGCGTCTTCAATCCCGACGGCAAAAACAGCGACCTTGCCATGCCGGTGGAAGACGTGCTGCGCAAGCTGATCGATCCCTCACAGGGCTACACGTTTTGTACCGAGGCAGTGGCTCCCGCCTGCAACCAAACTTGCATGACTCCTAACCAGGACGACATCGCCTCCTACTTGGGCAACAATTTCGGCTACGCCAACACCACGACCCTTGCAGGCGAGCCCAACCTGGAGAGCGACGTCACTCGCCTCATTATGAAATTCGGCATGCCTCTTGCCGGTTACAACAACTCGGATGATCGCTTCGATGACCAGCAGAAGATTATCGAAGGTTCGAGGTTTTCCATTTTCATCTCTTGTTGGCAGGGCTCAGCACACTCTTTTCTTTGGCTCACCTCAAATGGCGAAAATCACTAGACTTTGTGCTTCGCGCACAAGACGAACTTGACGATGCCGATCACGAATCATCAAACATGGAGTTTCGGTACATTTCCGAAGTTTATGTATGCCCTGACTTGAGCTCGAGTGAACATTCTCTTGGAGCGCGCGAGCGTTTCTTCTTGTCCTTCGGCTTATCCCTTCCCTCGGTCTTTGTCGACGCAGATTGAAAACTATTTCTGGGATCTGGTCATTGGTGATACGGCCCTCGTCTCAGTTGCCATTGTGATTGTTGGCATCTACGTCATCTTCCATACCCAGAGCCTTTTCCTGGGTCTTTTGGGCATGCTGCACATTCTGATCAGTTTTCCCGTGGCCTACCTCTTTGGCCAAGCTGCCATGGACTTTGGAGGCATGGTACGAATAGCCCTGAAGCCTGTCACCGAATGCCTTATTGCCCAGACTTCTATTTGCACTGCTCTTGGCGTCCCCCGATTGCCGGGCTTGTCTTTTTCCCCTGACTTACGTCTCATTTTCTTCTCCGACCCCGCCACTTGGCTTCTTTCGTGAAACAGGGCATTTTGAATCTTATGGCTCTCTTCATTATTTTGGGCATTGGCGCTGATGACATTTTCATCGTCGTTGATGGTTGGAAACAAAGCCAGCACGAAGTGAGCATGCCCCATGGCATGGCCCGCATCACTTGTCAAGCCGATGAGTTTTCGGACCTCAACACCGAATGGCTCAAGAAGCGCATGCGCTGGGCATACGCTCGCGCTGCTCAGGCCATGCTCATCACTTCACTCACCACCGGCGCTGCTTTTGTCATGAACCTCACTTCAACGGTGCCGGCCATTCAAATTTTTGGTGGCTTCACCGCTTTTATGGTTCTTTTCAACTACCTCCTTGTCATCTCCTTCTACCCAGCCATCGTGATCATCTATCAACGTCATGCCCAGTATTGGGTTTCTCCCCTCTCCTTCTGCGTCAAGAGCGGCCACATGCACGCCGGTTTTGAAAAGTCAGATGATGACCTCCCGCAAGCCCAAAACCCCGTCGTGCCTGCGGGTGCATCAAATCCAGACAACGACCGCGACGTCTCTGGCTTTCGAGGCATTGAGCGCTTCTTCTACAAGACCTACGCTCCCTTCATTTACAAGCAACGTTTTTTCATTACCGCGGGTTTTGTTCTTTTCTTCATCATTACCATCATCTTTGCGGCCCAGCTTGAGGCGTCGGAGACGCCGGCTCAATGGCTTCCGAAAAACAACCATCTGCAGCAAACTCTGGACATCCTCGACAACAATTTTGGTGTGGACGAGGACCCACCCCAAGTGGCAGTCTTTTATGGTGTCAACAAGGTCAGCACCAAGAGCACCAATCCCTACAACCCCAATGATGTCGGCAAACTCTCGTTCTATGATGCCTTTGATCCCTCTTCTCCAGCGGCACAAGAACAGTTCATTGAGCTCTGTGAGCTGTACCGAGCTCAGTCTTTTGTCTTTAACAAAGAGGTTATTTGTCCCATGGAAGAGTTTCGTGATTTCCAGCTTGGCAACGGGGAGCCGTTCCCGGTACCCCAAGCCGATTTTGCTGAGCTCTTGGGCAACTTCACGCAATACTACGAGTTCATCAACGGGCCGGCCCCCGACTATTCCGGTTTTCTGGAATCTTCCATTCAGGATGCTGAGACCCGCGAAACTCGGCGTCAAAACGTCATTGAACTTTTCCAGCTCATTCGCTTCGACATTGAAAGCAACACGCCTGTTGTGCGCTCCATGGCCATCGCAGTCACCACCACGCTTTCGGCCAGCTCTTCGGGCAAAACTGTGCAAAAGGTGTATGATGCTGTTGCTGCCATCACCGACGAACAAAACGACCTCGCTGAAAACCAGGCCTTTGGATTCCGTGCGTATCACACCAGTGACCAGTATCTGGACATGGTCCTAGAACAAACGCTTCTCAGTGCCGCCGTGAGTTTGAGTGTGCTTTTTGCGTGCGGGCACACCTGCCATCCATTTTGCTCCGATTTCCGCTCATTATTCTCATGGCTGTTCCGTTGTTTGTCGGTTGATTGCACCCCCAGGTGACGGGTATCGGTGCCTCTTTGGCACTGGCCTTTGTGATTATCGTGCTGACGACACATGATCTTGTTCTTTCAGTGATGGCCATCGTGGCCATCGGAGGCGTCGTCACCACTTTGATTGCCTTCATTGTTTGGCTGGGCTGGAGCCTCACTGTCATCGAGTCCATCTGCTTGACCATTCTTGTCGGCCTCAGGTCTGTTGACAGTGACCTGCGTTTTGTGTGTGTAGGGAAACGCAAGCCTGCGCGATGTTGCTCAGGTGACATCTCAACCAACGTTCTTTTGCTTTCCCTCTAGTGTGGATTACGTGATTCATTTGGGTGTTGCCTATCAAGAGTCAAAGGCCAGCACTCGCTTTGGCCGCATGCGTGATGCGCTTGTGGTCATGGGCATTAGCGTGTTTTCGGCGTCAGTGACGACACTTTTGGCTGCCATCGTGTTGACGGTGCGTCGCTTCTTTTCGTCGCGAGCTGCAACCAATCTGTATACACATACACATCATGATATTTTATACCAGAACCACTGTTTCAAAGCGTACGCACGCTCACCACGCATTTCTGCTTGTTTAGGCCACCACTATCATTTTTTTCTTCAAGTTCGGCCTTTTCATCATGCTGACTATTTTAGCTAGGTACGTCCTTGGTGGTAAAGCTTGTTGACCTTGCTTGTCGTTGCGTCAATCTTATATCGCTGTGAACTCCTTTCCCCCTCGCAGTACACTTTGGTCCTTTGGGTTCATGATGAGTTGGCTCTCGATCATGGGACGCACCGACCATCACAATGACCTCAAGTATCTCTGGCGTAAACTCCTCGGCCTCTGCGGGCGAGCACCGCCGGACACGCCTCCAGTCTCTTCTCCCAAGGCCAGCGTGGGGCCGAGCGCGGCCAGCGAGCATGAGATGGAGTCTGTCACGAGCACCGTGTCCGTGTAAGGGTCTTGTGTGCGAGTGTTTTTTTTTTAACTGGTTGTTAGTATGTTTCTGATTCACAACGGATACCTGCGAAATGCTAAGTATCCTGCCCACATCGAGTCGGTGGTACATGTTTTGCAGTGTCAGTGAGTTTTTGGACGGCGTTGTGCGTTGACGCAAATATAGGTAAGATGTCTAAGAATTCAAAAAAAAAAAAAAAAAAAAAAAAAAAAAAAAGGATCAAATTTCCTGATTTGCTTGTACTTCGGGGATGTGTACGACATGGTACAGCTCACATCGTGGACACCATGCATGCGATAAAAGCTTGCGACAGAAACTGCTGCTCGAAAAAGCAAGGCATCACAAAGGCCGCAAGGTTTTCGGAAAAGGGGATAGAATGGATAACACGCACGACACAAAAAGTAAACAAACAAAACACACTTAAGCGCATGGCTTTGGCGTGTTGATGCGGGTATGGACAGACATTGGCGATGTTCACATTAAGAACATACGAATGGACAAACAAGATACAAAGGGAGACAAAAGCACGGGACATGAAACGTGTTCATATGTCTACATGACCAAGCAGGCGTTGTCAGCCGCAGCACTATCAGCGTCCGACGGCGGGGCGGCGTCTGCCGCACTCGAGGCGGGGGCACCAGAGAAGCGCCTTGATTTGCGACTGCTGGCACTGCTGCGCATGCGAAAGTTGCGCTTCATTGTTGATGATCGCCGCTCGTTGCCCGGCGGTTCCGAGCCCCGACGGTTGTTGGTCAAAGCCTCCAACTCGGTCGTGAGACGCTGCAGCCAGAAGTGCACGGTGCCAATACGGTCATGAGCTTGTGCCGTCGCCCCCACAGTGGCTGGTACTCTGGACGACCACGCACCTTCATACTCTCCATCATGCGTTGCTCTGAGTTAGTATGCTCTGCTTGCTGACGCTGAGATGGGAATACAAGGCCAGTGAGTGCAAACGTGTCGCGGTCTCTCCTGCGTCATCAAAACTTTTAGAGCACCCCACCTGAAGCTGGCTCTCTAATTGCAGGATCTTTTCTTGAGAGGCTGAGAGCTCGGCCCGAGAGGCCGAGAGCTCAGCCTGAGAGTCGAGAGAGGTGTGTTCGCGCTTAGCAAATTCGTCTGCCACCTCTCGTCGTAATTCTTGATTGCGTGCTTCAAGTTTTGAGACATTTTGCTGCAGGGTCGTGCGCGCCTATCGCGGTCATGGCGTGTATCGTGAGTAAGGTCAAGACCAATTATCTACCACCAAGGTGTAGCTGTGAAGAGGTTGTGCCAGTGCATTTCGAGTACCTGTTCTGCAGCTGCTAGCTGAGCCGCGCTGGCAGTCACCTGCTCACGCAATCGAGCAATTTCCTGATCACGGGCTTCAAGCTCAGCCTCGCGAGCAGCTTGCTGTGCTTCCAACTCTGCAACCCGCTCTTCCAAGACGGTGTTCTGAGCACTTAGCTCATCTTTCTCGGTCTTGGTGGCATCAGCTTGAGCCTGAAGTGTTGTATTCTGACGTTGCATTTGGCGTTGTTGGCGACGGAGTTGCTGAATCTGTTCGGCATCCTGCTTCAGGAGCAGATCTACGACGGCCTATGCATGGAAAAAGATGGGGTGTTAGAGCGACGCTTGCAAGTTTCTGCACTCTTGTCCAACCTGACAAAAAATCACCGTGCCAGAAACGCATTCAACGTACTGCTGAGGCAGAATCTAGGAGGGTTGGGGCCGTGGATCCGGTGTGTGGAGTTGCCGGGCCTGATGAGGCAGCGGTGTTGTTGTCTCCATTTGAGCTGGCGTTGGCAAGCGCAAGGTCCTTGCGCGCTTGGGCCAAATCATCCAACAGCTCACGCATGGCCGTGCTTTGGTCATCCAGCTCTGCTTGGAGCTCAGCTACCGCTTGTCGCAGGCGTTCTTGCGTGTCTAGATAGTCACCGATGGCATAGTCCTGCTTCCGGTGCATGCATAAGACGGACAGAACAATGGCAAAAGGCATGAACATGGTAGAGACACGAGCCAAGAAGGGGCGTAGCAGCACGTACGTCAGTGGTACTCTCTTCCGCTTCGAGGGCTATCGAATCACTGTTGCTGATTGATGGGCGAGGACTCGTTGAGGATGTGACCATAAGCGATAGGGGTCGGGTGGCAGAGCCAGAGAGCGACGAGGCGGTCGACGAAGGCTTGCGCCCGCCGCCCGATGCCAGCGTGCTCAGCAAGGTGGCCGCCTCCAGCGACATGGCTCGCTCCCGCTGCTGGTCGAGTTGCTTGGCGACGAGCACAGCCTTGGCGGCCTCGCCTTTGGCAGAGCTGGAGGGGAGACGATCGCGACCGGTGAGCCACCGCTTGGCCTTGCCCCGGTGGGGAGAGGGAATGGCCACGGGTAATTTCTCCGGCTGACAAAGCCAAGCCAGTCGGTCGGCCAGGTCAAAGTTGCGCGCGACGTAGAGCGGGGCATCGGCAGTATTGCCATCACCGTTGCTCATGCGCAAGGAGTGACGGTCGGCAAAGGACGCAAAGTGCATGCCCAAATCATACATTTCCTTCACGCTGAGATCCGTGCCTTCCCGGGCCTTGAGCGATAGGATGGCTTTGGAAAAGAATATGAGCCATCGAGTGCTCCCCTTGCCGCGATCCTTGCCTTCGGGATAGAACACAACATCGCTGATCTCATCGCGCAGCTCGCCGAGCTGAGCATAGTCACAGGCCAATGAGGAAAGTCGGTCACGGAGGGGAATGGTGCGCGCAATGTGAATATCGCCGTGCTCCAGACGCATCAAGTGAACCAGACGGGCGTGTGTGTTGATGTCGAGAGCCATCTTTTTCATGGCGTCGACGGCTAAGGAGAGGCTCGCGTAGCCAGGTTCCTCTGGACGACTTTGCTTGAGCTGCTCGCCCAGGAGCAAGTGGTACTATATGCGTGATTGCAACGGAAAAGCGATCAATCATGAACAATGGTGCAGAGGGTAAGGGAAATGTCCAAGCAAAAAAACAACAAAAAAAAACAAAAAAAAAAAAAAAAAAAAACAACAAGCACACAAACAAACGCAGGCGGACCGCGAAAACAGATGACAAAAGGAGAATCCTGGAGTGTTAAGACTGACCCGCATGACACGCTGGACGGGTTTTAAGAGATCATCTTTGAGAGCCAGCGGGCGATTCAGCTGGCTCTGTTTGAGGTTCAACAGCACTTGGAAAGACTTTTGAGATTGCTGCGTAAAAACCCATACAATCATAAGGCTTGGTGAACCGGGAAAGACAATGATCAAGTCTGGGGTCGAGAACTGTCAGGGGAGCGGGAAGTCGAACCAGCTTGGTGACGAGTGCAGTGATGGAGCGGCTGTGATCTCCGCAGTATCGCTGGTAATGCTCCGTGAGCTCTTCAACCTTGTCAAGGATGAGTTGAGCCAGTTTGACGCCCTTGGGGTCCGTGGAAGCGGTGACCATATCGCTGAGAAATTGTTGATGGAATGCCAGCAAGGCCGGCAGATTGATAAAAATCAAAAGAATCTCCTCGTCTGAGACCAACTACATGGTGGCAGCAAATGACGGTCAAGGAAACGACAAAGCTGGGAGCGCAACAGCAGCAGCCTCACAATTTCAACAACCTGAAGGCAGAGCATGCCAACAAAACATAGCAAGAACAATCGGAAAAACCAAAACAAAATGACACACCTCAGCTGGCAGAGCTGTCATGTACTCGTTGACGAGGACGTCCAGATCATTGACGTATTGCTCCTCGGTGGCCAGTAGCTCAGACGTAGCCTTGCGGCGGCCCATCTTCATCCATGCGGGCAGATTCACGCTCCATCGTCTCGTGTCAGAGGCAGATACGGGAGCGGTGTTGGGTAGAGCGCAGTCCAGCGGCATAAAGGTGGGGAGTGTCATTTCCGAGGGTGGGCGTGAGGCAGACATCCCAAGAGGCTTGGCAACGGGGGAATCGGTGGTGCTTCTGGTCGGTTCTAGGCTGCCCGCGTCGGGCTCTGGCTCAGTTCCACTTTCTGGTGAAGCATCGATAGCGGGGATGGTGGCCGTGCTCTCGCCCCCGGCCCCCGCTGTTGGTGTCGATGGGGGGGTTTCGGTGTCGGCCATGGCGCTTGGTCACGGCCTAGCCTACAGTGAGGTATTCTGGAGCAGGGTTGTAAGGGTGCCAGGGCGAGTCATACACCGTTCAGGCCACCCAGTGAGCCAGCAGATTGAGGACTTGATGAGCCTTACCACGCAGGTCTCATAAAATGCTTGCGCCGTAAATCAGCTTCAGTTGTCGACCTGCAATTCAGCTCAGGGCTACTCCAGCCCGGGGTCAAGAGCAGGTCAGCAGAGGGGTGCCTACTTGGCAGCTGGGCGCGACAGCCTGCAAAATCGAGGAGACTACTGTCGGACTTGATCAGGCCAATGCCGCAGCCTATTAACTGTAAGACACGAAATGCCGGGCAAGGGCAAGGCGATGAGGTACGGCTGCCAAGCCGCTCCAGCTCTTGCCCAGTCCACAAGCTCAAAGCTCAAGTTGGACAACGTCAAGTCAAAAACCAGCTTGCCCCGTGTTGGAGAATGTCAACGCGCGCGTGGCGGCCAAACGCAGCCAGAAAGCCCCGAGACAGTGGGATGGTGCTTGACCATGCATGCTCAACGAACCTTGACACCTTGGGCCACGAGATCGAGCTGATCGGCACCGATCAGGGCCTGCGCAAGAAGAAAAAAAAAAAAAATCCTTTGGAGCAGCAGCTCACCAGCAGTCCTGAACGATGGGCGACGATGGCGACGGCGGTGGGGGGTTGACGAGGACGGTCGATTACCGGCTCTCTCTGCTGGATGAATGGATGAATGGATGGATGGATGGATGGATGGAGGTGTGACGAGGGCGAGCTCGACTCTCTGTACGTGTACGTGTGTGTACGTGTACGTGTGTGTGTGTGTGTGTGTGCAGAGAGTGCAACGACGAAAAACAAATCAGATCTCTCTTGGGACCTTTGGGATTTTCCTTTGATGGGTTGATGATGCTGATGATGGAGTTGTTGTTGTTGTTGTGGTCGCTGGTAGGGGGCGTTTGTGGGCCAGATGGAGGCGTTGAAATGAAGGTTAATGAAGAGATGGAGAGAGTTGTTGGCGCAGATTCAAAGCGCACGACAGCATTTTTCTCTGAGATTGAAGCCAGCTTGATGCATATCTCTGGTTCCCGCATGCCTGCCGTGCTACACCACTTTGAGTTGTCATCGAGCATCTCTGCCGCCTCAACGAGACCAGCAACACCTCTCTCAACATCCCTCTCTAAAGTTGTCGTATCGCATCTCGTTATGCTGACATTTGCCATTTCGGCTCGTGCAAATCAGCTCGAGCTCAAACAGCTGTTGTCAACAACATTCCTACTCCGAGTTGGCTGACATATAAATCTGACTTTTCGGCATGTCAGACACCCGCGTGCTCGTCGTCGCGTCGTCGGTCGCACACATCAATTTTTTTTTTTTTTTTTTTGGGAGGTGGTGTCGAGGTGAACCCCGAGGCAGAAGGGAAGGAGGCGATCAGCCCCGTCCTGGTCTTGGGAGACATTGGGTTTTAAGCGAACTCTCGGCCGCGTGATTGGTCGTCATGTCGCACCACCAGCGCGCGCCGCGCTTCAATGCCAAGCGTCGGCAGGGCAATGCCGCCACCAATAACAGCAGCCTCGAGGCCAGCAACGTTCAGGTCTCGTCCCGTTCACTCTTAACACGCTGACTGCGGCACACACAATCGTGGGATGAGGCGGGTCTTGAGGCCGTAAATTTATGCTAGAGCCAAGCCTGATGCCTCTCTTGCCCTGCCATGTGGTTTATGCTACCTAGAAGAAGAAGTTGGCTGCCGTGCTGGACGCCGACTTGCGCGAGGAACTGACGGATCGCAACGACTACACCCAAGACATTGACCAGGAGGCCTTGAGCCTGGTACAGCAGGAACCGAAGCGGGTGAAGGCTGAAGCTCCCAAGCGTGGCCTTCTTAGCCGTGCTCAAGTCAAGCGTCTTCAGAAGGTGGTCGAAGCCAAGTGCGTTCAATTGCGTGGTTTGGATTCATTCCGTTCCCGTGACCTTTGTCATGTCCAACCGGCCGGCTGGTCGGTCTCACGTGTGCACTTTTTTGACCAGGGAAAAGAAGGAGCGGCGCGCTCAAATCCTTGACAAGCTGCAAGCTCAGCAGTTGGATGCCCGGACTGCTTCACTGCTCCGGTCCACAGCAAGCCTGTCCCAAGCACGACTCACAGCCCAACAACGGTAGACCCCATTCCCCTCCCGCTGTATTGTGCAGCGCTGGCATGCCCACTTGTAAACACATGTTGCTTCTCTCACAAGCATATACATGTGTTGATCAGGCTTCGTCACGAGTTGCAGTTGCAAAAGGCTGGTTTAGGGGACCAGGCCGCCGCCCTCACCCATGCGGCAACCACGGCCAAGCCTCGCCAAGCCGATCGCGATGCCCGCCAGCGAGGTCACATTTCACTCAATGTTGCCCGCGAGCAGCGAGATGACACTGCTGAAAACGAGTCTGAATCCGACGACGATGTCAGTGTCTCGGGTGGCGAAGATGAAGTCGAGACTGCTCTTGCTGAAGACGTCGGCGCCGGTGCATCATCCGAGGCCATCGAAGATGAAGACGCGGGGGATAGCGCCAATGAACCAAACGTTCCCAATAAGCCCTTTGATCCTCTAGCCTATCGTCAGGCCTTGGCACAAGCCCGCAAGGATGGGCCATCGGCTCGCGACCTGATGCGCGAGGCGGCCCTCCGCAAGCGCGCACGCCAGTTTCATGAGAGCGCTGTCACCGTCAATCGATTGCCTGAGATTGTAGAGTCTCGCGCTGACCTGCCCATCATGAAAGAGGAATACCGGGTTTGTACCTTTTGCAGGGCGTTGATTCACATTCATAGTTTTTCTAGGCTGACAGCCGCGTTGTGGTTTGCGTTGACTCTTCGCTCCAGATCCTCGAGGCTCTGGACGAGAGCGACGTGGTCGTCATTTGCGGTGAAACGGGCTCGGGAAAAACCACTCAGGTGCCCCAATTTCTCTATGAAGCCGGCTATTGCACAGGGTACGCATTCGCAAGCCAACGGTCTCTTTCCCCTGTGCCATGGTCATGCAGCGCAATGGTGCCTCACTCTGCTCTGCCGCTTGCCACTTTTTATCAGCGAGCATGAAGGCCAATCTCAGCAAATTGCCGTCACCGAACCGCGCCGAATCGCCGCCATGAGCGTGTCCCAGCGAGTTGCACACGAGCTCAATCTCTCTGACAAAGAAGTTTCTTATCAAGTTGGTCCCGAACTTCCCGTTTGGCCTTCTCGTTTATTTATCAGGTTTCAAAACTTATTTGCACCTTCTTGTGTTTCAGATCCGTTATGAGAGTACAGCCACTCGAATGACCAAGATCAAGTTCATGACCGATGGTGTTTTGCAAAAGGTGCGTGCTCTCTGCAGCCTAGCTCTCTTAGCGTACCGCAACGCTGACACTTGCTCGGTGCATGACAGGAAATTGAATCAGACTTTGCTCTGCGTCGTTACACCGCAGTTGTCATTGATGAGGCGCACGAACGCAGGTAAGATCTGCAAAAAGTCTTGTAATCTGGCTATTCAGGGGTCGTTTGTCAAACCCCACTCATTGGGTCTGCCACCTTATTCTAGCATGCACACGGACGTTTTGATTGGTTTGCTATCTCGAGTGGTTCCTCTTCGACGTCAGATGCACGACAACGATGTTGTATGTGACTCGCTTCTGACAGCCATTCAATGACGGCTTTGCTTTCGGCGATGGATTCATTCTTGGCATGACATGGCAATAGAAGAACAATGTGCCTGAAAGTCGCCGTACTCCACCGCTGAAGCTTATTATCATGTCTGCTACGCTTCGCGTTGAGGGTAAGTTTGGCGCATCGACAAAAACAAAACTTTGTTGGCATGATCCCCTCAGTGAACTCATCAATCTGGGTGGCTGCACATGTTTACAGATTTTGTCAAGAATCAGCGATTGTTTCCCACCATGACGCTCCCCGTTATTCATGTTGATGCACGACAATATCCCGTGACCGTACATTTTGCCAAGCACACGCTTGTCGACAGCGATCCCACAGCTGCTGTCGTCAAGAAGGTACGTCCTGCCCCAGGCAAAGTCGTTTATACTCTCTCTTTTTTTTTTTTTTCTTGTGTGTGTGTGTGTGTGTGTGTGTGTGTGTGTGTGTGTGTGTGTGTGTGTGTGTGTGTGTGTGTGTCGCGCATTGTTCGCGCTCATTTCATCGTTTGTCTCTGGTCATATCAGGTTTCACAAGTACATCGCCGTCTCCCTGCCGGAGGCATTCTTGTCTTCATGACAGGCCAAGTAAGCATACCATACTCTTGCTGTGACTCGACCCTGCCGCAAGGACTCACTCGCATTGATTTTGGATCATTCCTTTCCCCTTTCCCTGTCACCCCGATCAACTTAGTCGGAGATCTTGGACGTTTGCCGACGACTGCGAGAAGCGTTTCCATCGCGCTCGACACCCGCAAAGGTTGCCTCGCCCAAAGTTGAGGCAGAGACTGTAGAGGTGAAAGATGTTGATACCGAGGTTGAATTCTCGGGCGCTCTGCCCGGTGACGAGGATGCGTCCGAAGGCGAGGAAGAGGACATGGACGAGGATGAGAGCGTCGGTCGCGAAAGGTCTCATGACGGTGCCAAGCCCGGGGCTTTCTCTGTCACCGAAGGCGCTGCTGAACCCCTTTATGTTCTCCCGCTCTATGCCGCTCTTCCTGCAAAGATGCAAGCCAAGGTGGGTGTGCGTGTGTGTGTGCGCGCGCTAGGTCGACCAAAGTGTGCGTGCTTGTCTTTTTGCACTTTTTTTGCTGTCGCTCGCTAGGAAATCTGGTTCATTTGTCCGTCAATTTGATTTTGCCAGGTGTTTGCGCCACCCCCGCCGGGCCATCGCCTGTGCGTGGTCGCGACAAACGTCGCCGAAACGTCGCTGACCATCCCTAACATGCGCTACGTGGTTGACACGGGCCTGGTCAAGGATCTTCTGTTTGACGAATACACGGGCGTACAGCGCTTCGACGTCTCCTGGACGTCGCAGGCCTCTGTACGTATTTTGGCTGGCCTCAAACGTCTTGGGTTTCATTCTTGTGACACCAGCGCTTATTCACGCCTTGTGCCTCATTTGACAGGCAGCCCAGCGAGCTGGACGCGCCGGTCGTGTTGGCCCCGGCCACTGTTATCGCCTCTATTCATCAGCCGTTTTTCAGCACGACTTTCAAAAGTTTAGGTCTGTACTCTTTGCTTGCCTGTTGATAACCTGCTCTATTATTCTCATCTCTGTGACCCTTTGGTCAATGATTCCATCTTGCAGCGAGCCGGAAATTTGCAAGCTGCCTGCCGATGGCTTGGTGCTTCAAATGAAGGCCATGGGCATTGAGAAGGTCGTTAACTTTCCCTTCCCGACACCTCCTGCTCAAATTGCACTTCAGCGTGCCGAGAAGCTGCTTCGCCAACTGAATGCTCTTCAAGATGATGGCAAGATTACCACACTGGGGAAAGCCATGGCTCAGTACGTTGACATTGGCTCTCTTCCTCTGTTGGGCTCTGCCGCTTGCTTGCCTTTGTGCTCAAGCCTGCTCATACAACTCAACAATCTTCAACTCGCGACGTAGATTGCCTGTGGCCCCGCGCTTTGCCAAAATGCTCACGTTGGCTCGGCATTATAAATGCTTTGATTACATTGCTGCTGTTGTCGCCTGCTTGACTGTCAAAGTGCGCATGGTGGAGCTCTTCCTGCCCGCTGCACACGCAAGCACATCTGTTTTCCACTCACGGGCGCTTGGCGTGTAGAATGTCATCAACTACTCGCTGGCGGGGCTTGTGGATGATGATATGCCGGGAGACGCAACTTCATCCATGCGGCCAAACGTGCGCGAGGCCCTTGCCAATTGGCGATTGGCTGGAGTCAAGGTACGCACGCTCATGTTTTGGGCTTTCTTCAATTCTGAGCCCTCAACCTGCTGTCATCACATTACCCCGCCGTCAGCGGCGACTGACATCGGATGCGCTGAATCAATAGGGTGGTGCTGATGCCGCAACGTTGCTCGCGGCGGTGGGGGCCTGTGACTTTGGTGCGTGCTCGCAGTTTGTGCTTTTAGCGACGCGGAGACAGCTGGCGGGTCTCATTGCGCCGCCGGTGCGGGGTGGCCTGTCTTTTGCAGAACTTTCACAGGGCCGCGATCTTGAGTCATTTTGCGAGAAAATGCTGTTGCGCCACAAAGCCATCGTTGAAATCAACAAGCTGCGTGAGCAGCTGGATCGTCAAGGTGAGTTGCTCGACACACAAGTGTCCCACTTGCTCAGTGCCATGCCTGAATCTTTGCATCTTCAACTCATTGTTTGCGGGCCTGACTTTAGCCGGGCTGGTCTGGGGCGAGGAGCAGGCCGAGCAGGCCGAAGACACAAAGACGCGTAGCCTGCCACCATTGCAGCCCCCGACCGCAGCTCAGCTGGAAACGGTTCGCCAGGTCTGTGGCGAACAACGTGACCTGTTTTGACTTTTGGGGCCAGGGCTTGGCTTTGGATTCACGGCACCCTGTCTCTTTACTTTCAGATCATCTTGGCTGCTTTTCCAGATCACGTCGCTCGTCTTGACGCCGACGCTAGTCGTGCTGATGATCCCATGAAGCCATACATTTGCACCAAGGTGCCAGAACCGGTGTACATTGAACGTCAATCTTGTAAGCTTCAAGCACAGGGTACAAACGTCTTCATCTTCTTTTGCATCTCTATCAAGACGTCTCACCCTGTTTGTCATTGGCAGCAATGCGCGACTCAAACCCAGAGTTTATCGTGTTCATGTCCTTGCGCCAAGGCACCAAGCGCACATACATGCAAGGTATCTTGTAACTCCTTGTCGCCCGGTGCTTGGTTGACGCCCACCAGGCAGGCACAATACAATGAATTGCAGCCTTTTACTCACGTCCATAACCGGATCATCCTTCTTAGGCTGTGCCATGATTGATCGAGCCTGGTTGGCTCGGCTTGCTCCGCAGAGTTGCGATTTTGGCAAGCCTTTGCCTCAGCCAGAGCCACATTATGATGCCGAGGTGAGTGGAGTGGCGCTGCTCTGAAGCAGCTGGTTGTGAGGAGTCGCGGATCGCACTATTGCGTGTAACGTTTCAGCTCATGTCAAATTCGACAGCGCGACGATGTTCGATGCTTCCAGAGGGGTACCTTTGGTCCACACCGCTGGCCTTTGCCTCCAACAGATGTCTCCTACCCCAGTTCCCCAGAACGTTTCAAGTTGTTTGCGCGCGCTCTCTTGGCCGGCGAAGTCTTGCCGGAACTGAAAGCACTGACGCCTTATCTGCGCAACAAACCAGACATTCTGCTCAAGCCTTGGTCCAAGGTACGGGGTAAAAGGAACCGTGCCCTTGCGTGTAACTCCAGAGTCTGACTGCTTTGCCGTTGCCGCGCACACTTCCTAGGAACGCATTGTCGCTTTGTTGCAGCCTCTGATTGATCACGATGTCGACTCGCGAAGGAAGCTTCTGGCACGCCTGAAACAGGACAGTCACTTTCTGCTCAAGCCGTTGGCCCTTTGGCTTCCAGCGGAGCAACACTCGACTCTCACTGCGACCTGGAGTGCCATTGCAATGGGTGCTGCCCAGTAGTGCTTGCATTGTTCAGCATCGAAACGCGGTTGTGCGGACTGTTGCCAGACAAGCTGCTGTAGTTTTATCAAATTGACATGCAAGAGCTTCTGTTTGTGTTCAATCAAACACATCCGACTCAAGTCCTTAAATAGCCAGAAGCTTTGTCAATTAAACGAGACGCACTCTAACCAGAGTGTGGGTGGCACCCCATGTCCGACATGGTATTGTGATTCAAGACCTTACAGCGGTTCGATGGGCTCACCGCTGGGCAGGCTCGCATAGAGAGCCCAGACAATAGAGATCAAGGCCAACGCGCCACTGCCAATGGCAGCGCGCATGTAAAGCGTGACCTTCTCTTGCATGCGGCCAAGCATGCGACTTTGCTTGGAGTGAGCATCGTTTGTGGCCTGTAACTGCTCCCGAAGCCGCTGTTCTTGAACAAGCATCTCGTCAACCTGCAAGCACCAAAGCACAAAACTTGAGGGCGTGGACATCGTGCCAGGATACAATGCCAACCAGGGCCTCAATGTAAGCCAGAGCTAGGTTTTAAAAACCAACCTTTGTCGATGACTCTTCTTGCTGGCGTTGAAGGGAAACTTGACTGGCACGCAGAAAGTCCAGCTCTTCATGCATTTGCTTGCTTGCATCCTATTGTCCAAAGCAAAAAAAAAAAAAAAAAAAAAAAAAAAAAAAAAAAAAAAAAAAAAAAAAAAAAAGGTTATCGCAAGTTGGGATCAGTGAAAGCGTGTTGCCCTCCAAAACGGTCCGAGCTGCGTGCGCAAGGGTCACCTGTGAGGCTTGCAGATCCGTGTGCAGTTGGTCTTTCTCGCTATGATCCTTCTCAAGGGAAGCCTTTAGCGTGTCGATTTCTTGCTGCAGGACATTGGTCTGTAGCTCAGCTTCATCCTTTAAAAAAAAAAAAGAAAAACACACACACAAGACAGGTCGCTTGCTTCATGAGGGCACCGGCTACAGATCAGACATGTCGCAGAAAGCAAATGACGAAGAAATATTGCAAAGCAAAAGTATCCAACCAGTTTCATCTGCACTGTCTCCAGATCGTTTTGCTTGGCCCCCAGCGCTGATTGTAGTCGGCTGGTCTCTGCTTGGACCTCGTCCAGCTTCTCCTGCAGGCTATTTGCGCGAGTCTGCGGGACTCGACAAAAAGGCGGGGTGAATCAATGACATATGAATGATGGAAGAAGGTGACCCTCGACGCGCCTCTGCCAACCTTACCCTTTCCTCCTCTTGCGCATACTGAGCATCACCGAGGGCCTGCCGGAGTGCCTCCAACTGCTCTGGAGTGACGGTGGCTTTTTCTAGGGTGGAAAATGTTGTGCGGAGTTTCTCAATCTGGCTGAGCAACTGTGATCCCACGGAACGCAGGCAGCAAGGCAAAAATCTTTGTCAGGATCACTCCTGCTTGGGGGGCTTCGATATCGCAGCACAGGGTTTGATTTTGACAGTTGGAAGCAAAGGTGAAAAGTGAGCCCCTACCTCATTGCGCTCTCCGCGAAATTTCTTCTCAGCATCCTGGGCCTTGCGTTTCTCTGTCTCCACTTCCGTCTCGGCGTGTTGCAGTTGAGCCTGTCAGGACGCCGGACCACCAAACCATAAGCATGCACACCAGCCATTGTTCGGGTGGCTGAGTTGCCCTTGGGCATGCTTGCGATGCCGCTAGGCATACCTTGCAGGCGTCAAGCATGGTCATGCACGAGTTTCTCATGTTCATAGCTTCCTGAGCAGCACGCTATGGAAGCAGAGACGACAGCCATGCGAACAGGCGGGCGTGCATCAACCCATGCGAAACAGCTACTTGGTCGAATCACAAAGTGTTCAGGGCTTACTTGAGCCTTTTGAACGCGTTCGTTGGCGTTTTCCATAATGTCGGGCACCGGTTTGACCTCGGATTCAGTCTTGGGCTCGTTTGCCAGATCGTGGCACCGCTTTTGATAAAACTGGATTTGCTCGTTGAGCAGGTCCATGCGCGCCACAAGCCGGTCTTGATCGACAAGTTTCTGTTGCATCCACGTCCCCAGAGGACGTTTGATCGGAATTGCACAAAGTGAAATTGGCAAAATTTGAAATCGGGATTCCTCAAAGGCCGCCCACGCTTCGCAAGGCGAAAAAAGGTCACAGACCTGGAAGTAGGTAGCTGCGATCTTGGCCATTTGCGTAAACTCGCTCTGCAAGGTGGCGAGGCGGCCAGCAATACTTGATTCCGCGTCTTCGGCTGCTTGTACCTTGGCCTGCAGCTGGCTCAGAAGGGTTTGCTGCTGAACATGTGCTTCCTGCATGGCCTTGATCTGTGGGAAACAAGCGATTGAGAGCCAAGAAAAATATAGATATAAATATATATATAATACATACATATTAAGAACAAAATGAGCCAGGGAGACAGAAAGCGCATGGCGTGAGGGCATGGTCTGGACCCTAACCACAAGAAAACAGACACACCTGTTCAATCAGCTCCAGGGCATCAAGGGTTTCGAGAACCTCAATCGGAGTTTGCAAGGCTTGCAAAACCTGTTGCCGCGAGATTGAGGCGTCATCGCCTTTCACCACGACTTCAAGAACCACACACCTGAGCAGGAACAACAAACATGATGCACCGTGATCGCACGAGACTGCACAAGACACAGGCTATGGCATCGTGGCCAGAAGATGGACCTACTTGTGGGCGGCAGTATTGTTTTCGACAACATCGACACCCAGCCTCAACTTGTCACCTAGTCGGGTGAGAGAAAAATGCTGGCGTTAGCATCCATCGGAAGTTGAAAAAGACGCAGGACCATCAAGTCCACACCGGTTTTAAGCTGACGCGGGGCTGACTCCATGCCACCAGGGCTGAGGCGCTCATCGTTGACATAAGTGCCATTACTACTCTTGGTGTCCCTGATGAAAACCTTTTGCGTTGAAAAATGCAAGAGCGCAGACCAGTGAGCTAGGGCACCAGGCATCGGCAGTGGTTCGATGTGTTCTTTTGGCTTTGGTGAAGCAAGCTGCGACCCCAAACCTTGTTGTCATCGGCCCAGATTTCAGCATGACTGCGCGAAAGAACTTTGCTGTCAAATACTGCATTGTCCTTGGCAGGCTTGGCCTTGTTTGGCACAGCACGTCCAACCTGCACGGCCAAACAAACACCAATGATGAACACAACACATGCTGCTACACAAACTGTAGCTGTACCACCCCAGGGCACCAGCCACGCGCACCTTTTGAGCATATTTGAGCACAATCTCCCGACGAATCTCAGTTCGGCCAGGCGTAGCCACCGGGATGAGGATCAGAACCGGGGCTCCGCTGGTCGAAGCCATCTTGGCTTGACGAGGGAGGCACGACGTCAAAGATGCACCACGGAAAGAATACTCTTTTCGGCTCTTGTACCAACTATCCGTCTGATCCGAATGCTCTTCCTTGTCTTTACTCTCGAGGTGATGGCCTCGAGTGAGGGCTTCCTTCCTTCACGACGCGACTCCAACGCGCGCTGCCGTTTCGTCCGAAAAAAAATAAAATAAAAAAAAGAGAGAGAGAGAGAGAGAGAGAGAATAAAAAAAAAAAAAAAAAAATTGGCTTTTTTAAAAAGTTCTCTTGGAAATAAACATTTGGAGCTCATGGGGTGAAGTGTCTCATTATTCACACTTTGGGAGGAGCGTGGAGAGATGGCTTGTGAAACAAGAACTTGCTCATGATCTGATCTGCCTGAACACTAAGATATGCTACATGAACCTGATGACTGGTTTGTAAAGGCTTTCTTATGATTTCGGCGCGCGCTACAATTTCTTCACGATCTTCTGCACAAACTGCTCAGTTTTTCTTGGCTGTTCCCCCACACCATCAGATCAGGAAGATGCACGCCCGCCTCTCAGCCACCCTCGGCGTTGTGGCCCTGGCCTTGCTTGTGACCCTGAACGGCGCTGCTGCTCAGGAACAGAAGTACATCTCGGGTATGTGCGTAGCTAGGGCGTTGGGGTGGATCTTAGCTTGGAAGTAGCTCAGGCTCTGTCTATCTCAACTGTAAACCACGCAACTTCGCAGGCTACATCCTGCTCAACGGCGCTCGCAATGGCCGCGTTCTTGGCCTCGAGGTCAGTCAGTGCTCCATGATGTCCGTCTTGCAACAAGAAGGCGCGTGCATGGGCACAAGAGAGTGGCTTTGCCGTCATCAAACAGCATGTCGTGTTGCGGTCACTTTGGCTGTGCCTATGGGACTAGGAACTCGCGGACCTCGCCAACAACGCCAACAACCTACCTGTCAATCGTGTCATCATCAGCTTCTTCTCTCCGACCATGTCTTACAAGGCGGTCGGTTTTTCTGGTTTTCGTTTTTACGGAGGATCTCCGGCTGCGGCGGTGCCTCTACTGGCTTATCCGTTGGAATGCCACACCTCCCCCCCCCTTCTCTCGCGCTGCTTTATCCACCATTCATTCGTTGTTGTTTTTTTTTTTTTTGTATTTTTTTTTTTTATAAAATTTTATTTGGGATTACCTTTCTGCAGGGCAGCAAGACGCTGGAGCGCGCTGGCCTGAATGTGTCCAACTCAGGTGATTTCGGTTACGCTCAGCTTGAGGATTCCATCCTCAAGCTCCGCCAGGCTGGTGTCGAGGTGTTCCTCTCCATGGGCGGCTGGAACTACAACTGCTACCCCTACATGTACATGCGCTATTCCGTTGGCGGCTACGGCCCCAATACTCCCGTAAGTCGCCATGCCAACACCCTTGCAAGCCGTACACAGTGTAACCCCGCTCATTAAGTTTACGAATCACACTTCTCATTTGACGCTGATGTGTTCTCCCTCTCTGTCACATCTGCAGAACTACTGGAAAATCAACAAGTTTGGCAGCGGCTCTTTGGATGGCTGCAAGAGCGACACCCAATACTGCTACGTGTGCGAACCTCCGTCCGAGAACACGACACTCTTAAGCTTTTCGGTGAGAACCTTTTCTGGACTCGCGCTCGACTGTGTAACCCTTAAGTCTCAAAAGCCTGACTGGTTGGCCCAGAGCCAAGTCTCACGCCCCGTCGATTCTTCCCACCTCTGCAGATTTTCCCCGAGGTCAACCACTCGAGCGTGTGGCAGCAGGCCATCCAATACGTCACAAGCACGACGCAGAATGTGACACCCGAATGGCACCCAGAGCTATCTCCAGGCTCAACTTTTGTTGACTCCAAGACAGGCATTGCGGTCCGTTCCGTCACAAACCTCACCAGTTGGCGGATTAAACATGGTTCGCTTTCTCAACACGTGTGCATTATTGGCTGTTGTACTGCATCAGACTCTGGTCCCGGGCGATGGCTTTTTCATGGCCGCTGGCACGGATCCCTATGAAGTATGTCCCGCCCCGACAACCCGTCCAATTAGATCAGCCACCGCGGTGACGACTGGTCACCTCATATCTGCATGCCGCGTTGCAGGATTTTGTCAACTTGGCCAACGACCTTTCGGTGGATGGCATTGATCTCGATTACGAAGGTGCGACAACGTGGTTCTCTCCACGACCATAGCCGAGCAAAAAGGACCTGGCCTTGGCGGTGCCTTCGGTCTTGAGTTAACGACGATGATGCGATGTTAGAGTTTTGGCATGCGGACTACTTCAAGCTTGGCAACTCGGAGTCGGGACCTTGGGCGCTCCCTCAAACCGTATGCCCCACATTGTGATGACGCGGGCCAGTGCCCACTTTTTGCCATGCTCACCGCCATACTTCCACTGTATTATATCATACCCAGGTTTACAAGTACACGGCCATTGCCAAGACGCTCATGATCCACATCAGCAACATCAAGCCGGATCTCAAGCTCTCAACGGCTGCGTCGGCGGTCGGTGCCTGGTCGACTGCCTGGTGGGGTGGCAACCTCAAGGGCGTGTGGTACTGGGCCAAGCAGTGGTTCCCCGACGTGATTGACTTTATGAGCACCGGTCCCAACGCAGGCGGCATCAACGTGATGACTTGTATGTTTACACCACACGTTTTATCGTGTAATCTACCTCAGCGCGCCACTATGCAGCCACTGGTGCTGCGTGAACCAGCGTTGACATGATGCGGTGGCCCGCTTTGTTTCGTAGACGATCTGTCAGACAACCCTCAATTCCACGAGTGCCCCCAAGACAACGTGTGCACTCTGAGCCAACAGGTGCAATTCTACATGCAGACTTACTCGCAGGCCCAGATTCCGGCTTTTGTGGGCTACGAAGTTGGCACCCCAGCGTGTACGTTTGCATCTGCTCCCTTCCTCAGCTCCGTGCATTTTTTTTCCACCAATGTCTGACTTTTGCACGCTTGCCTTCTACAGACCCGGCCCCCGATCACGACCCCACCCATCAATTGCCTCTGACCATGGTGAGCTCACACATGCGTTCTCAGTTTTTTGTGTCTCGGGTTTTGAGAATTGTTATGGCAGAGAGAGAGGAAACACTCACTTGTTTTTGTTGCCCCTTGGCAATGGATGGCATCCAGTCGGAACTGGAGTCCATCATCTCTGAGACGCAGCAGCCTTTGGGCGGCGGCTTTTTCTGGGAGATGTTCAAGGAAACCAACTCCACGGATCAAGCAACTCCCACTCAGGTCTGTTGACACCCCTGTGGCTTCATCAAGGCCCGCCGACTTTTTTTTTTTTTTTTCTCTTTTTTGGGTCGTTGTCTCGTATTCTTTGGGCTTACACTATGAGGAATGGGTGATCACAGGTTGCCCAAGCCATCTGCAAGGTCTTGACGCCCGATTCGCCACGCTGCTCGGGCACCATCCCCCCTCTCAACTGAAGGGCCTGATCCAGACGGTGGTATGCTGCACATAAAAAATGCATGGCATGGTCAAGGCAATGTCGTGCACAACAGGCACAGGCATCGACCGTCCGCCTTTCTGCTTTGATGTCTATTGTTCTTTTTTTTTTACCCCTTGTTTCTGATACGTTCTTGTGTTTCTCTGCCCTTTTGCCTGGAGCTGCACACCCCTCGCCTGTGAGGGCTCTGGTGGGCGGATGAAGAGATGAATTCATGTGATCAAAGCTCCATCCGATTATGTCAGATAGATAGAAGAAGAGAAGAAAGCAAGAGAGAGAGAGAGAGAAAGAGAGTCACAGAGTGAGAATGGCATGTGTGATCTGAGTTACAGTTGGTTCGTTCAACTCCCTCTACGCTGACGTCATCGTGCGGTCACTACCTCTGACCTTTGCTTGTGCCCACCTTTGAATCTGTCAAGTGACTCTGCACCTTCCCCCCCACCCTCTGACTCCCAGGCACGAGCCAGTCCGCCTCTCTGCCTCACACACATACACACACAATTCATTAGAGTCGTGCGGTGCGTGTGTGTGTGTGGACACACCGGCACGCTTGAGCTCGGGCGGAAGGAGAGGGAGGAGCCGCTTGTCATGGATGACTACGTGTTCGCTGCCGAATCAGGCAGCGTGGAAGATCTGCGCTCGATCTTGAGCCATTTTGACCGACGCCTAGAAGTTGACCAACGCGATGGCACTGGCTACGGCGCGATTCACTATGCAGCTTCGGCTGGCCAAGCAGAGGTGAGGCGCGATCGGCCACATGGCGCCTCAAGTCTGCATGCAGCCTCCCCTGATCTGCTGCGTCTAAATGTCTCTCTGTTTTGATCTATACCCTTGCAGGCCCTCGCCGTTCTCCTGGAGTTTGGCGGTGATGTGAACCTTCTCAATACACAGTGCGTTCATGTGCCCCTCCTTCCTTGTGCAAGGCGCTGCCTCGGCTGCGATCCAACCACGTTCCCGGCTCATGCTTGAGGTATCCCATTCTTGTTTGCTTCGACTTTTTCCCTTTGTAGAAAGGGTCAGACGCCGTTGCACTGTGCCTGTAACAGCTGCCACCTGAACGTGGTGAAAGAAATCTTAAAGCATCGTGAGGTGAGAAAACGTGTCGCTTGGGCAAGAACTCGTAGCGATTTGAGCCGATGGCGACTTTGAAGCTTCAACTTACCTTGCTTGTTCCGTCGTGGCTTGTGTACCAATTACTAGAGCATCAATTCCGTCAACGCCGTTACACGCAAGACAAAGGCGTCTCCCCTTCATTGTGTCGCTGTGTGCTCAAAGCCGGTCTGTAGTGGTGTTGACGTGTCCTTGTCCGTGCCCGTCCCGTGCCCTTTCCCGCATCTGTTTTCGTTGACATCCGCAAATCATGCACTATCACCAAGCAAAATCTCCGCTTTTCTCACTGGTTTCTCTTTTGCCTGACAGGTGGCCCCTGCCATTGCCCGGCTCCTCGTCGAGGCTGGTGCGCTCTGTGATGCGTGAGTAGCTTCTACTACGCCCGTCCCGCTAGCTTGGTCCATACCTTTTTTTCGTCTGCTGATATTGCTGGTATCGGAATGTAGGCAAGACACGACTGGTCACACACCCCTGGCTCTAGCGTGCCAACAAGGTACTTGATCTTTGAGCTGCCCGGAGCCGCCCCCATCTGAGACGTGGATGCTGACCACACGTGTTGTTAGGACGCTGCCCGAGTTTGGTAAAAATGCTCTTGCAGCTTGGTGCCAACCCCAACTCAGTCAACCGTGATAATGTCGCCTGCATCCATCTTGCGGCTGTCGGAGGCAACGCCGGTATCCTGATGGCATCTATGCTTGGTCTTGATGCGTGGCGAGTGCAAACGAGACTGATGTTTGTACGCACTTTCTTGTTCGCCCTGTCGTGCAGAGATCGTCAGCCTGCTATGCCAGGCTGGGGCAACGATTCCCGACGGCATGGTTGCCAAGAACTCTCCACCGGTGCGTCAGCACATTTGTTAATCGCGATTGTTGTGGGTGGTTCTGCACTGCCCATGGTCACGACTCATTCAGGTCTTTCCCTTTGTCAAACAGCCGCCCATCCTTCTTGCAGCTCATCACGGCCACGCAGGGGCCGTACAGGCACTCTTGACAGCTGGCGCCCACCCCGATGCAACCGACCTTCGCGGCCATCGTGCGTTGCACAAGGCCGCGCGGGCCGGACACGTCCCGTGCGTTGAGGTACTTCTTCGTGGCAAGGTACGACGGCACAACCAAAGCCTCGGACATCAAGCTCCAAAGTTTCATCTTGACTTGAATTTGGGTGTTTGAATCTGATGCTCTTTCTTTCCCGTTACTGTACAAACTCCCTCGGATGCAGGCCAACCCGAACGCGACGGATAAGAACAACAACACACCGCTGACTTACGCCTCAGACATGGGACATCCCGGGATCTGTTCCCGACTGTTGCGCGCCGGAGCGCAAATCTCCATCGCCTCCACAGCATCTCAAGGAAATCCACTGCATGCCGCAGCGCGCAATAGTATGTGATAATGGGGACAGCATCACTTCTACAGAATGTCGCTGCTCTCCATGGACGTTCATCGCGGGCTTGTTCAACTTGACATCACGTGCAGCTATGACTTTTTCTTACAAACTCCTTTGTGCTGGCCAATGTAGAACGCAACAAGGTTGTTCAAGTTCTGGTGCAAGAGGCTAGCCGCGATGACTTGGACATTAACGCCGCCGACAAGAATGGGTACACGGCGCTGCATCTCGCAGCCCTCAACGGTGACGTGGCTACCTCTCGCGTGCTCGTGCAGCACGGTGCCGATACGACCCGACGCAACAAACGCGGCCGCACCCCATCCCAGGAAGCCCAGCATGCCAAACACGTGCAGCTTGCCAATTTACTTGGAGATGCGGCTCGTCTGCTGGACGAGCCTGTCTTGGGGGCGTCGACACCCACGCCTGCGCAGCTCCCTCGCACATCATCTCAGCGTCTGCCCCAGCGCCGTTCTGTCCGCCACTCCGCCAGCGCAACCCAGGCAAGACCAGGTAGCATGGGCCCAGGAGGACTCACGGCTGCCAGCTTGGGCCGAAACTCACTGCGCCGTACGACCAGCAATCCCAATGGACCACGACAATCCTTGCGCCGAGCCAACAGCTCTTCAACTCCCAGCTCTTCCGCTCCTACCGTGTCATCCGATGTGAGTGCCTTGCCGTCTTTGGACCCTGCGTACCTGCAGCAGCAACTGGCACAAGCACAGCAAAGTGCCAGTGCAATGAGCGAACGCGCCACGCTGCTGGCCGCTTTCAATCAGCTGGCCCCAGTCGGTCGCCAACACTCAGCCAACGCCTCGCGCGCTGCCGTCAATGCTCGCAAGCAACGCTACCGTGACATCGTTGCATATGATCACACCCGCGTGAGCCTTGCAGCAGCTGGCGGCCACCTTGGCTCTGACTACATCAATGCCAACTATGTGGTGGGCTACGAAAAGGAAAGAGCCTACATTGCTTCTCAAGGTCCATTGCCCGACACGGTTGGGGACTTTTGGCGCATGGCCTGGGAACAAACCTCGCGAACCATTGTCATGGTGGCTCAAGTGCGCGAGAACAACCGTGTCAAGTGCGAGCTATACTGGCCAGCCGTTGATCACTCGGCTACGTACGGCCCATTGATGGTCTACGGGCGACGCGAAGAAGTTTTGTCCCCCAACGTGACGCGACGTTTGTTTGAAATCCACCACCAAGACGAAGACCGCGTGCAAGAGGTGGTACACCTACAAATGACCACGTGGCCGGACCATGGTTCCCCTCGCAACCCCGAGGCCTTTTTGGAGCTCCATCGTCGCTTCCGAGAGGCACAAAGGAATGCACGCAACTCACGCTCAGGGCCGGTGGGGCTGCCTATAGTACACTGCAGCGCTGGTGTTGGACGTTCTGGCACCTTTATCTGTTTGGACACGGTCTTTGAAACGCTGCTGGCAGGTCGTGACCCGGTCGAGCCGCTGGCCATTATCAGCCGCCTGCGCAATTGTCGCAATTTCATGGTCCAGGCCGTGGATCAACTCGACTTTATCTTCCGGGCGATTCCTGTCATGATCCAACAGTTGCTGGCCGATGCCCAAGCACAAGCCGAGCGCAAAGCCAATCCACCCCAACCTGCTTCTCAGCCGGATTCGACAAATACCATGGAGTCACTCTCGGAGCAGGAACAGTTTGAGTTGGCGCTTGCCATGTCACTTAGCGATACAACTGGTGCCGAAGAACCGGCCGGTGCCTCAACGGAAGGGCTGTCCGTGACGTCAAAGGCGGACTCGTTACCAGTAACAGCACAGCTGATTGAGCTGCCCCGTCATTATCTGGTCTACTACGTTGGCTCCCAAAGAGTCAAGCGCGATCGTGGCCAATCTGTTGTCACCAATGCCCTGACCGCGGTCATCAAACGGGCGAAGGTACTATCCGCATTTCAACAACCCATTGTTTAGCCGGCTCTTTCATCAAAGCTTTCTTCCTCTTTCTCCTTGGCTCACCTCATCTTGGCTTGTTCTGCCATGCTGTGCCAGGCTTTTAAACAACTCAATCTACGAGTCGACCAGACTGGCATTGAGCTCTTGGAGCTTGGGCAGCCGATGGGACTCTTGCATAAAATTAACCTCATCAGCTACTTTGAGGTTGGGGCTTTGCCCGACCCCCTGCGAGTCATGTGCAAGCAATTGCCTGCCAATCTCAAGGCGCCAGGCTTCACCGCCTTCATCAGCCATGTTAAGGACCGCAATGAATCTGTATGCCATTGTTTCATCAATGCAACCATGGAACAAACCGAGGAGACGCGTTTGGCCATCTCCGAAGCCTTAACGCAAGCTTCAGCTGCTCTTGGTCGCCGCTATCAGCCCGTTGCTGCTCTTGCGGAGGTATCTCCCTGCCACCCCGGACCCTCGTTCACATTACCCACATTGAGCTACCAAAAGTCTCCAATAATGTTGGACTCATCGGGCCTGTCAATGCGTAGGATGATTTGGAACTCGCTATGCAACTCTCCCTTGCTGAGGCCGAGTCTGGCGCTAGTTCCACAAAGCAGGATGAGACGGAGGAGGAACTGCAATTGGCTCTAGCTATATCTCAAAGTTTGGCAGAGCAGCAAGGCTCTGCCAGTGCCAGTGCCAGTGCCAGTGACAGTGCTAGTGCCAGTGCCAGTGCCAGCGCCAGCGCCAGTGCCAGTGCCAGTGCCAGTGCCAGTGCTAGTGCCAGTCATTCCGAAGCCAGCTTCAGTGCTGTTCAAGGTGGTCAAGATGGCCAATGGGACTCTTCAGGCAATACTACCTCTGCATCAAAACTTACAACCGCTTACACTACTCAGCTGAATGGTCGTGATGGGCGCCTCGCATCTACGGCTGCCGGCTCCAAAGCTGCCCCGTCCCGTCGTAACCCATTTGACATGCCCCAGCGCCAGCCCTCAGCATCTACCTCCACTTCGCTGTCAACAACGTCAACCAAGCTTATCACGACGTCCCCGTCCAACCCGTTTGCCTCTGATGCAGCCCAGACAGCAGCAACTGATGTGGCGGTGACAGCAACCACGACCCGCACCATGCTGTCCTTTGGTGGGGCAGAGCTTGCGGGCGTAGACGATGGCATGGGCGTCACCCTGGCTGATAACGAGGACTACATGCCTACGCTGGAAAATTACAACACGAGCACAGACGTTGGAGCTGGTGCAACAGCTGCTGCCTCCCAACTTGCTGAGCTTGAGCTCGAAGGTCCAGACACAAGCGACTCTGGCGGCCATATCCGCACAGAAGCTGAAAAACTCATCTTGGAAGCACAGGTTAGTGCGTGGGCAAGCTGCACCTTAGCTTGGCTCCAGAAGACGCACCGTCTCATGTTTGTCTGATTGTTTATTTGGTTTTTTGTTGTTTGAAAAAATGTCTAGGCTAAATTTCGCGCAGCGAGGTCGGAGAGCTGCTCCTCCGATCGGATGGAAAATCCTGCCACTCCACCCCAAACAGGTGTCTTCGGCTCGCCACAAGCCGTTGCTGCTGCTGTGGGCGTGCAGCATTTGGAAGATGAATCCAGCGCCTAGCGAGGGGCAGAAGAGTGGCATGTAGTCCAATGTAGTTCTCGGCGAGTCAAGTTCATGTGATCAGCAAGTCCACGTCCATGTCCCACGTCAGCCTAAGAACAGATGGACGACCCACAATCATGGGAGTTAACAATATGGCCCAAAGTGTTGTGATGTTCCCGAAACAAATTGAAAATGGGATTGTGCAACATGTTTTGCTTTCCGCTGTGATTTTTCGTCCCTCTGCTTTGGTCCAAAACCAATGTTGCCTTTTTTGCTTTTTGCTCACTCACTACCAAGTCCGACGCAACTTGCGTCCCGCTCTTCGCACTTCCAGCGAATGATGTTGTCATCAGATGGATGAATGCGCGATATGCCACATACCTGGACTCGGTTAGCCAAGGCAGAACAGACACCACCGTCCGCTGATCAACGCGATAACCTTGCAGTGCACGAACGAGATAAACCTCGCCTGACAGGACATGAGCAAACTTGCGCACAGCCAGAACGCAGGCGCAAGCCTCGCCGGCTTTGGGTCGCATAGCTGTGCCAAGACGCAGCAATCCAGTTGGTGATCCACACAAGTAGGCTGCAACCATCAGATGCCGCATGCTCAAGTCATTCGAAACCATAGGATGGGTCCCTGCGTGAGACCTAAGACAACACAAGCACGAAAGACACTGAGTTGGCGACCAAAAAAAGGCTTCTGTCTGATTGCACTTGGAAATTGGTTTGTCTTGGTCGTACGGTTTGCGGTTGTTTGTCGGGCGTTGCAAGCCCTGCCCAATAAAGTAGACAGCATCCAGGGCCCCCAAAACGGGACGAGCGACTACGTCGCCCATGATTTGCGCCGGTAACATTGCCACAGCTTGCAAACTAGCGCGTGGCCAAGTGCGCTGAGTAAGGGCAACCTTTTGTGCAGCAGTTTGACACAGTTCCTTGCTCCCCCCCGCTCAAGCTCATGTGCAGCGACGTACTCTGGTGCTTGCTCTGCTGTCAGTAGTTCCATCGGTCGTTGAACAACACTGGCTACGGCGCCAAGTACACCTAGTGACATGCCTGATGAAATCGAACGCGCGCATCGGCGTGAGCAACGGCAGATGATTCAGTAACGGTCGAAGAGTCACAGCCATACTTTTAGCGCCTGCTGCAAAACCCTGCCAAAATGAGCTAGCACTGTTGCGGTGAAAAGTGCTGCGTTCCGTGGCGCTGTGCCAGACAATGTTGAAAAGTTGACACGCGACAAACAAGATATCAGCCTAATCCAAGTTCTCGCCCGAACCCTTTTTTCCACTCATGAAATCAAAGGCCAAGAAGTCGGGCCGTGGTTCACACACACACACACACACACACACACACACACACACACACACACACACACACACACACACACACACACACACACACACACACACACACACACACACACACACACACACACACACACACACACACACACACACACACTTACCGGAAGCTGTGAAAGTCGACATCATGATGAAGAAACTCGATGCCCCGGGAAGCTTCGCGCGCTGCAGTGGAGGCACCCTCCGCCAGCTCGCTGCTCAAGTGGACAGCAGTTGCTTGTAGGATCCGGGTGGCACGTCGAGACATGGAGGCACCAGCCCACTCATTCCCAAATGTATGGTGCAGCTCTTCTTGAAGACGCTCAAAGATGGCCTTTGGACTACCCAAAATGGCGAGACTCGGCACCAACCAGCCGGCCCCAAGACAAATATCCGCCACGTAATGAGCTGCTACGACCTCTAGAAACCCTGAGGGTGTTGAAAAGTTTGATGGTCCACGAATGACAAGCTCGCTCAGCCGCAGCGTGAGATTATCCACTTGAGGAAGGCTGCCGAGGTCCAGCCGCGATGTGAGCCGGATTGCAAAGGGCGCCACGCGCCATGCAGCGATCAGCAAGGGATGTGCAGCTTCAAGAGGGTTTGAAGCGTGCTCAAAATATTCTGAATGCCTCTCCTGCGCCAACCCCAAGGCCCGCTGCAGTGCTGGTACTGTTCGAGCCGCCCAGGCATGCAGTTCCGATACCAAATCTGGCTCCAAATGCACGGCCAAAAAGCCTGGCATGACCTCAAAAGAGCGGATCAAGCCACGTGAAGCAAGAACCGACCCGGTCACGCGACATGCCGGCTCGGTTCCAAGCCGCGCAACAACAAGTCGATCACGACGAAGCAAGGGGCTGTGTACTTGAACGTCTTGAAGAGTCAGACCAAAATCGCAGGGCAAGTCCTGCGCCGCCGCGGCGTGCAGTTCAAGTTCAACAACGTGCCCAGCCATGACAGGCTTCTGTTGTTTGCCCACAACGCATCGCAGGCGTCCAACGCGACCCGTCAATAAAACGTGGGGTAGCTCTGACACAATCAGGCGAACTTCCCAGCCATAAGCAGTTTGCATGACGAGAAGCGATGGTGCGTCTGGATCATCAACACGGGTGCGCACTTGGCTGGTAGTTGGCCCAATGTGAGCTGAAAATTGCCAGGCCACCGCCTCAGAGGCAGCCAACCTTACGTTCAGATTGAGATGCCAACTTTGGCCGCTGTGGTCCCAGAAGATACGATGTGGAAGCATATGCCACTGCCGCTCATGAAGCAACACTTGCCGATGTCCCCCGCGCTCCGACATAGACATAACATGTGCCTGTACTTCAAAGGAATGCGCTTCGGATTGGGCTGGACCTATGAAAGTCAAAAGCTTCTGCTCGGGCCGTGATTGGATGCGAGCTCCACGTGCATCCCAAGACACGTGAAGCACTGGCCGGATGACCAAGTCATCCACCGGCATCAAACGACGCGAGCCTGGACGTGAAGCTGGCCAGCTAGTCTGCAAGATGATTCCGTAGTGGGGAACGCGCAACTCGAGCACGGGTGGCGGCGAGCCGTCGGCGTCTGCGGCAGGCCTGGTAGATACGGTTGTGCTTGAACTAAAGAGTAGCTGCGATGGCCCAATGTGACCTCCAGCAAATTGTCCAGGACCTGTGAGCGAGCTTGGGCATGGAAATGACCCTGATACCTCAACAGGCAGCTGAGTTGAGTTCTGCAGCCAAAAAAGTCCTCGCAGACCGAAAACGTAGGCTTGTCCATCCAGGAGCGGTTCGCATGTCTAAAAAAAGGCATCCACACAGCTTGATCAGGCCTTGAAACAAGTCGACACACAAAAGTAGAACTTTCACGATTTGCGGTGACTTTTTATCGAGCTTACCACTTGCAAGTCATGATCTGAAGGCAGCGAATGACCCACGGTCCAGGCCGTTGCATGTGCACCACACGTCAGCGAAAGATCAAGATCAACTAAAGAGGTGATTTGAGCGGCTCGCAGCATTTCATCTGTAAGAAGCCAGGAAACACCAGGTTCAATCTCCCAGCTCGCAGAGTCACGAGGACCAAGAACTAGTCGGCAAGATACATTGGTGTAGTTGTGAACCCGCACGAAGGGCATTGCTTCCACTTTGAGGCTATCAGAATCCTTGCCATCAATCACCGCAGACCGAGCAGTACGTGCCATAAAAAGCACACCATCCGTTTGCCGAATATATACGGTCGATGTCGTTGTCAACTGAAACCAAGGAGCGAAAATTTCACTTGCCGTCCAAATCTGCCCCGTGGGCATGTGCAAAGCCAATTGAGCATTCCAAGTAGCGTTTGTACGAATGCGCAAGACGTGCCCCGCGAATTGAGTGTGAAGCATTACGGGTCTTGCTTCACCAGCACTGTGCTGTTGATGGACAACCATGATGCGCTTGGAGCTGGGCACCAAGGGTGCTGCTGCAGCCAGGTGGTCGCCAGCACGATTGACAAGGGCCCAAGACATTGTGGCTAGTTGCGTGCAAGTCATTGCAGTAGATGCCAGGGTAGGAATGGCCAAGCCGTTGTCCCAATACAAGTCCAATGGCGTCAGGTTTAAGACTACAACCTGCTCACCACCGGGCTGCACGGCAGCATGACAACCAACCTCGGGCAAAAAAATGGGGACTACAGGCAAATCGGCGACCGCGGCTTCCATTGCAAAATGCCCAGCCGCAGCTGTTGACCTTGCCAGTGTGCATGGGTTCTGAACCGCTGAGCGGATGCGGTTTGCGACGTGACTCCAGTCCTCATTGAGCATCAAGTCAATCAAACCAACTTGGCAACCCAGTGCCATTCGCTGAGGGTGCAAAGTTCCTGTCATCTCAAACTGCTCTACCTTCACAACTTTGCCTTGACACGGAGGGCCAGGCTCGAGGTCTAGTGCTGAGAACGACAGACTGGCGTGCACATGATTCAAATCTTCCAGGTCCAACGTGACTTCCGCACCTAAGCATTGCGATGCTATCACGGGAAGTGTGGTTGATTGGCGTTCCGTATCAGAGAAGCTTTCATCAATGCGGCATGCCACCTCGCCAATCTCGCCATGTGCTTGGATCCATGTTTGAGTGGGTGCCTCTTGACTGCGAACGTCGACGGCCCCAAGCAGCTCAGTTGCGCTGGGACACTTGATCAATCCTTGCTGCACATCCCCGCTCCCAGCCATGCTTGGCACAAGCTGTTCAATCAGCATACCACGAGAGGTTAGAAAGGCGTTGGGGTTTACAGCCGCTGACGGCGCCGAGAGAGACCCTTGTTCGGCACCGAGTACAATAATTACTTTGAATGTATGGGCGGCATGAGCGCGGGAAATGTGGTGCGTCGTTGTTCCTGGCCCAACACAAAGCTCGGCCAGAGGCATGAAGCGTTGTGTAGCCTAAAACGGCAGTTGAGGTACGTTAGCTGGTCTTGGACAAGCATGATATGGTCCCAACTTTGGCTAGCCCAGACGCTCGCCCCACCTTTTCCAAAAAGTACAGCATGAGACACGCCACCGGGTCAGCAGAGTTGCTGGGCAGCCATGAAGTTCTACCAGCGAGTGCCTATGAGCTGACGAGGGGTCCAAACATCGGTGCACTGGGATGCAAATACAGAACAGCGCCTACATCTTGAGAAACATGATCTGTCGCCGGTGTGGATATGTCCAAGTCAAGCTACCTAAGTGTTACAAGCAGGTCCCAAACGGCCACCCAAAATGAGGCAAGGTGCAAGTCTCTTGCCAGGGGAAGACGCTCGTCTTACCATTGTCGGACAAAAGCAGTTGGCGGGGCGTAGGTATTCCCGAACCGTGTGCCAGGCGCAAGGCACCGCTGTGCAAATCACTGCACTGGCTTGCATGTCGATGATTTTGCCAGTTGGGTTCATCAGGCGCCGAGCTCGGCACAGTGTCTGATGACTCGGCTGACATTGGTGTTTGCTTGGCTGGGGCAGCTTGGAGCCATGCCAGCACATTCCGCCAAAATGGCAGAAGTGTGATGACAGCCTACGCGCAGCAAGCATGTTTCACAGAAGTTATTTGAACAGCCCAATCCGCAGCGAGGGCAAGATGATGGACATGGATAAGCGGCAACGGCAATGACCTGAGCACGGTCAGCACTAGCGCGCAAGACCACTGGAGGCACATTGCAACGGAGACCAGGGCTAATCATCGCAACAGCCTAGGAAACGCATGTGGCAATGACGGGCGTGATTGATGGGTGTAATTAGAAACGATGCAAAACAAAGCATGATTTGTTCATGGAAGATGAACTCGTTGGTCTAGGTATCAAACAGAGGGGTTGAAATGGGACAAGGATTCAAGAAGACACACGGACCGATAGTGAAGGTTGGAGCAGGGAACCACACAGCAGCGGCGCTTCGTCAGGTTCTGTCGTCAACATGATCGACAAAGATGCACCCCGAGCTTGAAGGGAAGCATTGTTCCAGACCATCTTCGCATTCACAAGTGCAGCCTCTGCTCTCAACGATTGGTCTTGCAGAATTGAGGGACGGAGCCCTGACGGATTGTTTGGTTCAATCAGGTTTTGCAAGTTTTGCAAATTTACGGCCAGCTCTGGCATGGTCAAAGTGATGGCAGTCGGTGCAATGTCAGCCCATGCTGCCCACGCCACGGCCACCATTCGTGCCGGGTTTGTCAGCGTGGATTTGTGAGCCTGCGACGTTGTGCACGTGTTCGCGGACGGTGTCATCCCTGTCGACGCGTGTGCAAGATCCAGGTTAAGATTGAACGCCGGTAGAGACACAGCCATTTCGGCCGCGGTGCCCCTAAGTGTAAGGCGTGGATCACCAGCCGCAGGCATGAGGACACCACGCACAACAGCATGTCTGTGATTGGCAAAGCTTGTCCAGTTGAGCTCTTTCCATGTCAACTGCGTATCCACCTCGACCACAGGGATCAGGCCCAATGACACGTTCAAATGCGCAATCTGCAATGCAGCGCCCTGAGCTCGCACGCAAAGCAATGGCACGCGACAGCTGACGCGCAAAATTGGGGTTTCTGGATGCCATTCACCCATGTCAGACAGCACGGAGACCGTGGACCAGCTTCGAGTATGCTTGTGTGCCCCGATCTCTCCCGGGCGACTGCTGGCTGCCGGTTTCAGCGTGCGTTGCACGATGAGGGTTGCCTGCTCCCCGATTTGCAGCAGAGGATCCAACAGGATGGGTTGAAGGTTAGGCGCGCGAAGGTGTATAGACCAAGCATCTGTTACGTCCAGCTCCATTTCCAAATCGCTTGCCAAGACCATCAAACGCTCATTCTCTGTGATCTTGCCGGCTGTTGCGTGCCCCGCCTTTGCCCTGGGCGCATTGACGGCCATGAAAACGTTCTTGACAGTAATTTTTGTCGCGTTGGTACTTGAGAAGATGGGCCCGGCACAACACTGGAGTGCATAAGGCTGCTTCGAAGCCATGGGGACGGTGAGGGACAGGCATATTGGCTGGATGCAAACGTCAAAATTGACGGGCGTAGCTGCCGGTAAAGCTGGGCGCTTGATAGGTGTCGTCTGACGTTGTCTCTTCAGGTGTGACTGTGGCTCCTGAGTGCCAACCAGAAGACTAGCATCAAAAATGGGGTCCAACAGGGTCAGAAGACGAATCAGCGTTTCAAGTGAAACATGCAGGGGCGGCAAGCTGCCGTGACAGCGAAGACGCCACGGTATGCTCGTAAGGTCACCCGTCATGTCCAGCTGACCATTGTGGTCCACCAAATCCTGCGTATCGGCGTTCAAAGAACCGGTGAGCCAGCGAGCTGTCAGAGCCACATACGCCGGCCGAGCATCAAGCACTAGGTGTGACTTGCTCCAAATGTGATGCCACACGGGACCCTGTACATCGGCGATGGCCAAGGAAACACTTTGCAGGTCCACTTTGACCGTGTAGGCCATTTTTGGCAGGAAAGACTGCGACGACACGTGATCTGACAAGCCCTGCTGCGTTGATGGCAGGCTGCGAATCAAGATGACAAGCTGAGACACCACCGACAACTGGACGGGATTGATTGCTACTGCCAATGTCACCAAATTGAAGCTCAGGTGGGGGTAAAAACGGTCGGCTGGGACAGAGTCAGCCGACTGCTGAGAGTCTGCCCGCCCCCAGCACAACTCGAGCTTGGAAAGATGAAACAGTGGTGAATCCCGGCTCAAATCGCCGTTCACGTGCGCATGGGCCAACGTTAGCTCTACAACTGGTTCAGCCGACTGGGGGGCCCAATAGCCATCAACATGGAGCGTCTGTGCTACAATGAGCAAGGATGTTGGGAGGGGCCCTTCCTCTGTTGCCGTTCCAATGGCTTCTGAGAATGCATCTGAAGTGCCTGTCGCAGTGTTCTCGACTGCCACTCCTAGTCGCACGCGGCATTCCAAGCTGGCAAGGTTCAGGTTGACGTTCCAGGCAGATGCACTTGTCTTGCGTTGACGTCGCTGGTGCCCAAGACTAGACGCAGATGTTGTTACCCCGACCTTGCCCGTAGTTTTGACTGGGTGCTGATGCGTGAAGGAGGCTCGCCCGTACGCAGCTAGAAGCTACCCCAAGAAGCAAGTAAGCGCCGAAAGTAAGAACAGAGCTGTAAACTCAGTTTTTAGCAAAGGTGAGAGCACACACCGTGGCGAGGTTGATGTCACAGCAGATGGGCGCCAAGCGAAGGCCAAGCCGAGTAATCACTGATCCATCGGTACTGCGACCACGCCTATGTTCGAGCAACGTCAGAAGCAAGCAGTATGCAAGGGTCGCACCCGTGGCCATGTTAATCGGATTTGCTGGCATGGGAAAAAGAAAAGCAACACAAAAGAGAAAAGAGGAGGAGGAGGAGGGTGGGGGAAGACAGAGACAGAGGGACACAGAGAGAGAAACAGACTGAACTTACGCCACGACCAGTCCGGCGCTGGATTTGTGAAGCTGCAGCAGCGCGTTTACGCTCGCTGGGCCAGCAGTGCCAGTTTGACTCAGGGGACGAAGTGTGGCTGATGGCACGGTGCGCGCGGCGCAAAAATGGCAAAAAGCGGCAAAGGATGGTTCGACCAAGACACAAAATGAAAGTCAAGTCAACACACGCTAAGAATGGCAATGCTTGACAAAGAATATCAGTACCCCTCACCTGCATAATCGAGGATCTGAAGCGACCAGGCCTCCAACTCTTCCAGTAACTCTACGCATAGCATCAAGGTATAGTGGGCAAACAACAGCAAGACCAAAGAGGACTGGAAAGGCGTTTGGCATACCAGCATCGGGCCAGTCCAAGGCTTCGGTCTGCCAAGCACGTTGTAGCTCGACGAGGCTGACGTGAGCGTGGACTTGAATGTCCAGCTCGGGCACAACCAGGTCAATGCGACAGCGCTCGAGACGTAGCCGAACGTTGGACAGCAAACGATTACCAGCCAGGCTCGCTGATGGCGGATTGGTCTCATCACCCAGTTTAGCGTCGCTGTTATCCTGGTCGTCGTCAGCGGCCAAGTCGGTGGCAACGACGTCTGGACCTTCGTGCCAGTGCCCATCTGCATCACAAAACGTTGCAGCGGACGAAGGTTCTGGACTCTCTTGTTTCGTCGAAGCGGCAGCGGTGCTTGTCGTGAGAAGCTGAAAGCGGAAAAAGGCGCCACTCACATCAAGAGACAGGGGCTCAGCACCGAGGGATAGCCAAGGTATGGCCAGGCGCAAACGCTCACACTGGCCATGCTCGCAGCGCAAGGGCACGCCCTGCTGGTGGAAGATCTGATTAAGTGCAGCACAGTTGAGTTGGACGTGCTCCAAAACCACGGCGCCCTCCCACAAGGAAAAGCTGATGCGATCAGGATCTAGGCCAATGGTGTAGGTACTGAGCCATTCCAGCACCTGTTGCTTGGCCAGTCGAGTGGCCATGGTGGCACGAGGCTTGCGCGAGGCGAGCCTCCGTCTCACTCTCGTCTCAGCATGCCCAGCTCTTGATCCATACAGGTTCTCAACAATGCTCAGAAGCCAGGTGATCTCGCCCACAACCAGACAAGGGCGGGGGCAACGCGCCGGACGCAGGGCTGCCTGGAGTGTGTGCGCTGTGCTGGAGCAACTTGATCAGGTCTCTCGAGTTTGATGCGTTGCGCAAAACTTCCACACACACACCACAATCAACTGCGGACACATTCCGCTTTTTCCGCTTTTTCCTGCTTTTTTCGCTTTTTTTTTTTTTTTTTTTTTTTTTTTTTTTTTTAACCGTTATTTTGCCTTTTCTCGCTTTCTCTCTCGTTGAATACGGGCGGTTGAGTCGCTCTTCACCACGATTGAGAAGAACAATGGTCCAAAACAACATGATTACGCTGAAGTTGGTTCTTACAAAGTTAGGCTGGCGATGATATGTTGAGATGAGGACATTAGCCGCTTCGAGGACATCCGAGTTGGATGAGAAGACACAATCACCGCGGCGGCAGCACGTGCTGCTCTCTGTTGGATTTTGAGATAAGGGAAGACGATGTGACACGACCATCAATTTCACAAGATCGGCACAGACTGAACCGAATACAAAACACCTTCTCGACAAAGCCTCTCCTCACAAAGTCAAGCAGAACAGACAGAAACAAAAGCCAAAGCACGATCCACCCCTCCTTCGAGTCTAGCTTTTGGTTAAAATTTGTCGGCACGCTTGCGACCCGTGTACTTGGTATCGGGACGCACCTCGCTAAGCAATGGGTGCAGGGGCAGCGATGACACGTGGTGAGACTGAGACGAAACGAGACACACAACAGGACAAGGGGGCGGGCGAGAGAGAGTAAACGCACCGCTGGCCAATCTGCTTGCGCCTGCGTTCCTTCTTCTGCATGATCCAATCGCGTCCCTTGGTGGCTCGCTGCTTGCGCTTGTCTAAAAACCGAGGAAGATGATTCAAACCGTGAATGGGGCCAGCTGCACACCACGCAGGTGGGTGGGGAAGAAAGAACACAGGTGCGTGTCATTCCCAACATACCACGACGCTCCTGCTTGGAAAAGGACGCGCCAGCACTTTGCTGATTGGCACCCTCTTCCCCCGTTTTGCCGCGCGGCACGTTGCCCACAACACCCGCAAACAGGCACAGGTAGATTCTGAGGCACATTCGGGGGACAAATCGGCCAGGCATTCGTGAGAAAGCTTTTGAAGCGCCGTTGGAGCTGAGTGTGTTCTGTCCGATCTGTCCGATCTGTCCGATCTGTCCAATCCTCAGTCTGACGACTCAAGACAGCACTTACTTCTTTGCACGTGTACTGTGAGGGTAATCCACAACAACGCCGCCGGTAAAGCCGGCCTTCATGGCTGCGTGCGTAATCATCTCCAGCTAGCAGAGGTGCGAATGTGAACAAACCGGTCAGCAAGCCACGGCGGTCCAAGCCCCCCCCCCCCCCCCCATGCAGAAGATGATGCCCACCCACCAAAGATCAGTGGGGAAGGAAGCAGATAGGCCGGGCCACTCATGAAATGACTTCATTCCCCCCATAAGTAAGCATGTTCTCCTTCAGGGAAGCTTAAAGGACATACCATACAACCATACAGCGTTGTGAAGAACTTTTTGAGGCGCTTGCGAGGCTCGTGCCACCGCTTGTCTTGGTTGCACAGCCACTGAAGTGCGGACACGCTGCCAAGGCGATATGGTCGTTAGATACGGCTATTAAACGCGCCAAGGGGTACATTTGAGCACTGAGCAAAGACCGCGTGTCTCACCTGATCACGCCATCGAAGGTTCCTGGTTTGTAAAAAGCCCCTTGGCCCATGTCTGCTTCAAACAGATCACCCTCGCAGCCGCGCTCGTTGGCAACATCTATTCAGCCCACGGCATGGGGTGTGATCGTCAGATGAAGGTAAGAGACGGGACTTTGGAACGTGGGCACAGCTTCACGGGACTCGGCAAAGCCAGGCATCGCACCCAACATGTCTCGGCTGATATCCATGCCGATCCAGATGTGACCACCATACGTCAGCTGCTCGCCAGAGAGACCAGAGCCGCAGCCCACATCGAGAAGAAAACAGGCGCGCTCAGCAGGCAAATTCAACAGCTCCAGACAGCGCTCCGTCAGCTGTCGCTGAATTTGAATCATGCGCGTACTGTGGACAAAGCCCGGTTGCGCACCAAGCAATGTCAGGGCAGAGGCACTTCGGAACCCGAGAGACATGAGTGTTGGCAACCTACTTTTGTGTATACTTGGCTGCTTCGTCGGCATTGTAAAACTGTCAAGGCAAGGCAAGCAGGCACCATAGGATTGAATGCCACAGCTCATTTACCATGTTCATCCCAGGCAAGGGCTCTGAGCTGTACTTACCAGCTCGGGCGGAGCGGCATACTCGGGGCGCGACATGATGAAGGCCGTTGGTGATGCTCGACCTGCTCAGGCTCGGAACCAAGTGTGCAAACGTTCAGTGTCCCTAACACCAGCCACTTCACACTCAGCGCTGACCACCTAAAGCACGCATCCGTCCATGAGACAAGAGCAAGAACCCAAACGCAGCCGCCATCGTACGTGCCGAGTCGCGTCCTCGCGTCTCTCTCTCTCTCTCTCGCTTCTCTCTCTCACCACGAGGTACAGTTGCTGGGATAAAGAAGTAAAATACTAATTGGGCACACACACACACACACACACACACACACACACACACACACACACACAAAAGATTTTTTTTTCTTTTCGAACTTTTTCAGTGACGACTCAGCCCAATACTGCGGCTCAGCTCCCACGAGACGGGTTGCACAGACCGCCATCATGGCGACAGGTATGCGGGTATAGTATGTGCGTGTGTGTTGTGCGCGGAGAGATGATCAAGGCGGTAAAGGTTTGTGCATCGCGATGGTTCACTTGGCTGGTGCCGGATGCTGGTGACCCGCCCGCGTAGAGTGGGATGACAAGGCCAACGCGTTGTTTCAGGAGCAAAGCATTGACGAGATCGCCGCCGCTCATGGCAAGCTTGTGTACGTCCAAGTTGCTCCAATTGCCGGTGGCAGCTCATGTCGTCGCCTGCCACGAGCCTCGCAGGCCTCATGGTTGTTGTGCTTCTTCAACTCGATTCCGTCTAGGAATGATATCAACTCCAAGAAACAAGACCTACGTCAGATGGTCGGGTATGTGATGCGCTTGCTGCCGCGCCCAGAGCCAAGGGCATAAGCTCCGTCAATCATGTTCCTGACCACTGATGGCGTATCGGATGCGGCCATAGGCAACGTTATCGCGAGCTACTGCAGGCCGCCAATGATATCAAGGACATGGCTGCAACTTCCGCCCAAACGATGGCCGGCGTGCAATTCCTGCAGCAACACTGCGATCAGGTTTGAGCTGTCTCCCATTCCATGCCAACATGTTTGCCTTGCTTGCTCAATGCGTGCCTTCGCCGCTGCCTCCGTCATTTGCTCGTTGCCATCAGTTGCTGGGCACCCCACTGCCCTTTTTCAATGCCTCATCCGAGGGAACCAAGCTGCAGCACACCGTTCCCCTTTACGCGCTGGCCGTCCAAGTAAAGCTCCTCCTAAAAGGGCCCGAGAAAGTGAGTCATGCTGCTGCTGGAATCAGGACTGCCTCGTGTTGAGGGCCCACGCCCCCACCTCATTGTCTGTGTTTGTTTGGCATTAGATCTGGGGTGCCCTTGAAACAAATCAGTTTCTCAAGGCTGTCTACATCTTCCAGCTCTGTTTGAAGATTGCCGAAACCCTTCAGGCAGGTTCAATGCAATTGTGACCGAGTCCCATGGCTTGAAACTCATTTCACTCCACCCACAGCGCAACCAAAGTGCTCTACAGCACTTTCCCATCATCAAGAGCAGCAGCGCCTCGCTTGGCCGCATGGACGCGGTTAGTCTTCACGTTCACCGCTTGAGCGTCAAAATCCTGCACACGTGCCAACCACAAGCCCTCTTGTACGTTGTTTGTAGGACATTGTGCAGCACTTGGAGCGCGTGATGGAGCAGGGTGGTGTCAATGCCGAGCGCTTGGTCTCTGCCCTGCTGGCCTGGCAATGTTGTACACAATCGACGCCAGACGCAGCCTTGACGCGGTTCCTGAGCCTTCAAACTCAAGGCATTGTGCTTCGTGCGCAATCTGCACTTCAAGACGCGACCATCAATAGCCGTGATGCCGTAAGGACAGGTTTTTTGTTTTGTTTTGTGTGGAGGACACGTGATGCGTCACATCTTCTCTCGATGCTTGCCTGTGCTTCATACACTTGAATTCCTTCTGCCTGGTGTTGCAGATGCATCGCATATCCATGTCCGTCTTCGATGCCATCGACATCCTGTACCACGTGGTTCTTCGTCCCGAGGACGACGGTGAAAGTAAGTTGATCATGAGAAGACTGAGCGGCTTCTTTCTTTTTTTTTTTCTCTTTTTTTTTCTTTGGGGTGGGGAAGCAAACCTCAGTTCTGCCATGGCTCACGCACAACCATTTGGGTTCTCGGTCAACAGCGCACGATCTCCCCTTGACCACGGCCGAGCGCATCTCGAGCCTAGAGCATGATGCCTCAGGTGCCTACCATCACCTGCTGCCTTCTATCAGGCCAACCAAGGTTCCGTTGCGTCTCATGCCTGAGCTGTATTTTTTTTTTTTTGCATTTGCGACGCCCAGAGCATGAGCGATGGCTCCGTAATATCACTGCCACGGAAAACGTGGAGCTCGAGACCATGCCTGACTACATCACAAAGTTTCATCTCAGATTCAAGGTCTGTTTGCCGCCCCAATCTATCACTCCTCTTTGAAAGACCCAAACTTCTCGATACTCTAAACTGTTCCTTACCTCATCTCATCTGACGCGGATAGCACACTGCACGGACCGCAACTCGCGCCGAATGGCAAGAGGAATGCCTCAACGTATGTTGCCCTTTTTTTTTTTTTTTTTGTTTACCCGATCCTGTCTCTCTTGCAACCCGCTCGTCAAGTTTTTGTGTGTGGTCTCGCCTTGATCCGTTCGTAAGGACTCTTCGCAGCCAATGCTAACTCCTGATTTCCCTCTCCGGATCTGTGCACAGTGGGCAGCCTCACTTGCCACAGAGCTCAAAATGTCCATCAAGAAGTTGCTTCGCAGGGTATGCCCCACAACTCGACTTGTTGACAAGCAATGGTGACCTCTCATCGCTTCCTGCTTTGATAGGTGGACACAGTGCCTGACCTTTGTGCCTTGCGCCATCATCTCACGACAACGCTCAAGGTAATTCCGACACACACCTCTGCTCTGCCATTCAGTGGCGATGTTTTATGTCCTGTGCTTGCCGTTGTTTTGGCTTACGCTGTTGTGGGTATCGCAGGAGCACGTGCGCTCCGCCGCGCGAAGTGAGAAGCTGGGTGTAGACTTGGGTCTGACGTCTACACTCATATCCCGCGAGGCACTGACAGAGGCTGTGTGCGGACGCGTCCTCGATCTGTGGGAGCTCTTGTGGGCCGAGCAACACGCCTTGCGTTGCCAAGCACTGCTTGGTCAAAGATTCGAACGAGGTTTGAACTTTTGTGATTGCAGCAAACGCGTAGCACGGGTTTGCCATTCACGTTTTCATTCTGCTCGGTTACAGCTGCTTCAGACGTCAAAACAGCAGCCGAGCGCTGCGCCAGTCAACTTTTGACTGGCGCCAAAGTCCGCGATTACAAGGATTTTATGGACGTGGCCGATGTGGCCTCTTACACCTGGAGTGCTGAGCGGGTGGACAATTACGACTACGGGCTCGTGTCGACCGAGTCGGGACCAGGTTCACAGAACAAAGTGTGTTCAAACTCGGGTTTATCAATGTCTTTCCTTTTATCGATGTCTTTCCCGGCAACGGCTTAGACCATGAGCAGCGAGGCCATGCATTGATCTATGGTCTCACCATCCCTTTTTCTTGCACCTCCCTCCGCGTAACCCCCTTTGGCGACGCTTTTAGATGGATCTGAAGACGAGTTGTAGCTTGGCTGCGCATGGCTTGTATGCGGACGTCGCGCATGCCTTGACTGCCTTTGAAGCCCAGCTCATGGGTAAGTTTCGCAGCACACCTCATGACAATCAAATCGGCGATATACGCTGCCTCACGTGTCAAATCACACCATCCCATAGCCATTGCCACCGAATCAGAGGAGATCTACGCCAACAAACAAAGCGATGCGGAGACCATACTTTTGCAACTTCGGGGTGAATCAAACACTGCCGATTTGACACAACAACAAGCTCACTGGCACTTTTTGCACGCTGAGGCCCTGCGGTCAGTGACTTTTGCAATGCCCATCTTGTACAGCTGCTGCAAGAACGCCCGCTGACGTTCAACACTTCTGTGTTTTTGTGCGTCTTGTTTACCGAGCAGCTCGGTGGACCAACTCGTCGAGGGCCTCCGTACGATTGGAGAAGGCATCATGAACAACCAGGATGGTGCGTCAAGAAGAGTTGCCCTTGGCCGCAGTTGATCATCCTGACCTCACATTGGCCCATCCGCTCACCTTGAACCTTTTTTTTTTTTTTTTTTTTTTTTTTTGTTTTTCTTTTGACCCCCGTCGATTTCAAATCATGATTCATAGCCACACTTTCCGCAAAGGGCTCCTGCCTGACCATGCTTGCCCGCCTTGCTCAAGGACTCATTTCGCGGTTTGTGAGCTAGTTGTCATTGCTTGTCGCAACCAATTTCTTCGTGACTGCTCACCCTTGCTTTCCAATCCGCATGCATGCCATTGCCTCGGTTTGTCTGTTTGCATAGCGCGCCGCTTCTTCGCGATTTGATTTTGATGCCATCTGCGGCAACCAATCGGCGGCGGCAGTATCAGGTCAGCACAAGGGTGCTGCTTGCGGCTCTCACTTAGCAAGAGCCTAGGTCCCGCCACTCTGCTCATTCTGCCTCACTTGGTGTATGGCATGCTTGCAGTCAAAGTCAACGCACTCTCAAGCCCTGGAAAGAGCCACCCTCAATTTGACAACCTGCGTCCTCACTCTGTTCGAAGCCTGGATGGACACATGGCTGATGCAAGAGAGCCCAGAGCTGCTGTCAGTATCTGCGAGTACCAGTGCAAATTTCTTGGGTCACCTTGGGAAGAAGTGCAACACATCACAACACCGCTCTGTCTTTGAATGTCCTGCTTTCATTGAATAATCTGCACGCATTAGCTCGAGACTGTTGGATTGCAACACCGCCAGCCCTGCTGGCTCTTCGACCCACGCTCTGGGTTGGCTCGTAGTAGCTACTGATGCGTCAAATGCCCCGGCTGATGCCTCAACAATTCGTTTACCCTCATGCCCATCAGCCGTACGTCGGTTGTGCTCATCATCACTTGCACGCCCATGACCTTGCCCAAGGCTCACCCATACTCGAATGGTGCTTTTTGCATGCAGGCTCTAATGCAGTATTTGGCTGTGATTTCGGGTGAAGCCTCACGATTGGGGCTTACTTATCTGCCGGAGCCGTTCCACACCTGCCTGCGCCAGAAGGTGTTGCAGCGTCTGGTGGAGGTGTACGCACAAGATCGCGATTGGACACAGTGCGTGAACCATTGCACATGCTGTGTACCACAGCGCCTCGCAACAACAGCCCTCTCTCCCTGAATTATCTCAGCATTGCGTTTGAATTCATCCACCCATGTGGTCGTGATATAGAGTGCCACAAACCACCCTTGTGCAAACGTTGGTCGATGTAGAATTTTTACTTGATGTGTTCCAGCTGGACACAGGTGCGCCATGCTGTGCCACAATGACATCAACATCCCTAGTCCTGGTCCTGACTCACTTGGCCCAATCTGCGCAATCTGTTCTCGCGCGTCACAGACGCCGTCCTTCAGTCTGTCCGCAAGGCAGTGCGGGGCGCCATTGACCCGTTTGACATGAATGTTTTTGCGCCACACTTGGAGGCTCTGAGAGCTCAACACTTCCAACACAGTCATCGCATGCTAGGACTTTTGGTGTGCGACCACAACCGTTTTCAGGATGCGCGCATAGGCACCGCAAACATCAAGCTGGATAGTTCTTCTGCCAAGTTGGAGGGTGTCCCATTGATGCCCACCCCGCGTCGCTTTGCCCCCTTGCCTGTCGGGCAGGATAGGTGCGTAGAAGCGTGGCACACTCCTTGACACCTCGTCCCAGCACGCTCCCGACTGAGGACATACTCATTTTGTTTTGAACGGTGGTAGTGCCTTACCCATGAGCTCGGTGAGCATCTCGAACAAGGCGCCAGGTCGCGTGGGTCCGTATCTTCAGCGCCACCTCGACGCGGCTGAGTAATAGACCTTCGGTGGATGCTCAAGGAAGTCTTCTTCTGGCCGTTCATCAATATGTGAGCTTTAATCCATCTTGATGTTTTGGTCTACACATCATCACTTTTTGGTGCTCCTACGTCTACTGATTTGAATGATGAGAAAGGACGAATGTAATCTGTAATGGTGTTTGCAACATGCGAACGTATTAATGTATCCAAAAAAAAAAAAAAAAAAAAAGCTGGCATCGATCAATTGTGCAAAGCATGAACTTTTTGCACGCTGTCTGTAACTCTGAACAGGCTACGTAGCCGCAGCAGAGCCATTTAGTCAAGAAGTGGCTGGAAAATGTGCCCCTCCTCCCGGCATTTCAAGAAAGCTAGCCGCATCTGAAAAGCCCGGCTTTGTGGAACAAGCACCACTGCTGTTTCATAGAAGAATTTGGCCTCGTCATCCGCCCGCCCCTCCAGCGCGGCGAGTACAGTGGCGATTGCAAAATAGTGAATAGGCTGGCGAGGGGCCAGTTGAATGGCCATCTGCAGGGTGGTCAGTGCATCTATCGTATACAGCGAGCGGTGCAGAACGTTGCCCAGCCCCAATAACGCGACGTCCTTGTGATCGGGGGGAGCAACGCTGAACATGCGCCGATAACAGCCCATAGCCTCGGTTGCATTGCCTCGTACGCGCCAGTAAATGGCCGCCATATCCATGAGTGCCCACGTTTGCGCGTGCTGGTGACGCATGGCCCAAGCCAGGCGGGCGCCCACCTCGGCCAGTGGGAGAATCTTGCGCTCAGACCAAGGCAATTGTGTCTCGTTCAGGGTTTGCAACACAACCTCAAGGCAACGCTCGGGTGACATGCGCAACTCGGCCGCATTGACGACACCGGTAAGGTGCGACAGGCTCTCGGCTGGATTCTCGGCTAATGGGCTTGTGCAACGGGGCTCGCCACGAGGAATGACGCCAACCTCAGCCGGTGAGGCTTTGGACGCCGCCAAGGGGGAGCTAAAGTCGATCAGTTTATTCCAGTCAATACCGCGGCGAGCGTGATCCACAATCGTGCTCACGTAGCGTGGCGATGGTATGGTGGTGTTGACGCGGCGTGCGACAGTCAGCAAAGGTAGCGCTGTGCGGCCTGTCACGATGTTTCGACGACCTTTTCGACTGCGACCATCAACTGGAGAGGTGAGAACTGTGCCCCAACCCTCATCGTTGAGCGGGACGTAGGGTACCAGCTCTTCTTCGATCACGGCCTCAGAAAAGCCTGTCACTGGGATGCTAAAGTTTGCAAGTAGTGGGGCACCCTCGCGAAAGATGTTGCATTGCTCTTGCGTGGGCCAATTGACTGACGGCTTGAGCTGTGGACGCAAAACATGGTCATGCTGGTGAGATCCCTGACAAGCGGGTCCAAGTTGATTCCTGACGAAAGCAACAAGCACGCACCAAGGCCAGGGAAAGGAAAAAAAGGGGGAAGGAGAGAGAGAAAGAACAGAAAATTTAGAATTTCAAGTCCAAGGCCACATAATGCGCTTACCAAGGTCACTTCATCCCGTCGCTTTGCATACATCTTGTCGACGGCAATCATCAAACTGGGAATGGATGGACTCTAGAAAGGGAAAAAAAAGAAAAAAAAAAAGGTTTGGTTGCGGTTGACACGGTCGTTTGGATGGCAAGAGAAGCAGGACACCCTCTGCTCCTGGAAGAACACGTTGACCACTTCCCATTGACACCAACCTTGGGATATTCGACAACAATGACTCGTTGGCCGTTTTCGTCTAAATATTCGTTGAGTTTATCAGTCGGCGAATAAATAGAACCAATGTCCCCCAAATCTTCGCTATCATTGTCGGAAGCTACGGCAGCCCCATCATCAGAGTCTGGAGTACAGACACAGCACGTGTGGGCAAGCAGAGTGAGCACGCAGATAGGTTGCTTTTCACGCGCAGAAGAAACATCCAGCTCATGGAGTGTCAATCTCAGACGAGTTGTAGCCCAACCAGCCAGGACGACGTACTAGCGGGTGCGACATCTTCAGCCGATCCAAGTTCACGCCCGGTATCGTCGCTGACGCTATTCATCTATGTTTTTCCATGTACACGCAGAGCAATCACTGAGCTTTCCCCTTGTTTGTCAGAGGAGCGGTGGAAATTGACTGATACAACTAGAGCGTGAATGAGCGCCAGACCTGAGGTCGCATTTCGGGATGGTATTGGCTGCGAGAATCCTTCAAACGATAATCGATACCCGTGCTCACGCCTGCGAGTCAACACAGCACACAAAAGTTCAGAGCCCAACTTGCGTACACTTGAAAACAGAAGAAACAACAACTTTGACAAAGCAGAAACAGAAATGGAAACCGAAATTGGAAAGAACCTGTCATGGCATGAAATCGTACCGGCATTTGTGGAGGCAAGGAGGGAATCATACTCTCGCTGGCTTCGATCAAACACAGCCTGCAACCGTGCCTCTGCCTCGGAGAGCTGCTCAAATAGTACCTGTTGTCAAGCACACCATGAATGATTATTGACTTGTCAGCTTGATGTGCCTGATGTCACAACACCAGTGTAAAAGAAAACTCGACCAACCTGAGCTTCTCGATGGCCGCTATGATCGTAGATAAGTTCTTTGAGGGTGTTGAGCTTGTTGCGCAGTTCTTGCGCCTCCTGTTATCACACACCAAATACCATCTGAGCATGGATAGAATAGGGTCCAGACAAGTCTTTCGAAGCATGCACAAAGCTCTGCTTCCTGTCGTCCATCCGTGTTTTGGACCAGCACACACAGGTAAACGACAAGTGGCGGCTGCACTGGATCATACCACAGCATGTCGCTCAAGTTCCATGCGCTGCTGCTCCAGCTTTGTATGGAGGGGTACGTCCGCTGCCTGAACCTCATTAGTAACAAACTTGCGCAAGCATCGAATACGAAGGAGCATGTCTGAAGCCAGCTGGAACGAGCTGTGGTAACGGATGGCCTTTTCATAGTGCAGCTCTGCCTCATCGTACTGGCCTTGGGCGGCATACACGTTTGCCAGCGTAAAGTGCGGAATGCTTCGCTGTGTACCATTGCACAAGAGGGCAAACTTGGCAAGCTGTGTAGCATTCTCCAACAAGCCCGTGCGATGTAGCACATTGGCTGCGCTTACAAAGGCGGCATCTTTGCGCTGCAGCGGCGCGTGATGCAGTGCCAACCGCACGCACTCGAGAGCTTCTGTTCCATTGCCAACAATGCGCCAATACAAAGCTGCAAGGTTATGTACGGCATCAGAGCTGGGATGCGCTTGCATGGCCATGGCCACACGGTGGCCAAATGTGCCTGCAGCCATGGTTTCACCCAGAATATACTCAATCATCTCCTTCAGCCCAAGCTCAGGTGTGTATAGGGTATAAAACTCGAGAGCACGGCGCTCCTGAAAGCCGTAAATGTGATCCATGGTGTGCATACTGCTAATGTGTCGGCTAAGGGGAATGCAGGATGGGCGAAGCAAGCCCGTGGTGCTGCTAGGAAGAGCACCGTGCATGTCAATCAGATCCGTCAGCGCTTGACCCGGCGGCGTCGTAGGTGGCAAGAAGGTGGAAGCGAACTCATTCCACCGTGGCTTCTGCAAAACAGGCATGTGGTGAGCAATGTGAAAGACCAACCAGGAGGACCTGTCAGTGCGGTCGTCAACTGGCCGGGATGATGCGTACTTGCAGATTGACATCGATACACGTCAGTGCCGTCACCCAATCGTCCGAGTCACTGGAGAGAACACCTGCAAAGTAGTGCTCAGATTCCTGGTTGCGAAACTCGCTACTTCGCACACCCACGGCTGCCGTCGATGGAGGTGACGCAGCCTTGGGCAGGCTGTCAATGAATTGCCGACAGACCCCGCCAGCAGATTGAGTTGAGCGCACAGCATGGTTGGCTTTAAGTGCAAGGCTGCCAAGATCAAAACTCACTCGTCTGCATCCGATTGAAAAGTTGCCATTTCATCAGCGCCAGAAGCGGCCTCAACTTCTTCTTTCAGCTCCTCCTCAAAAGACTTTTCAGGGATGAGGTCCGAGCTTTCAGTTTCTGACAGCGCTTCCGAGATTCTACCGTCCGGTTCTGGCATGTATACTAAAAGGGGGAGGAAACAGCCCAAAAAGGCGCCATGTCAGCAGACAGCAGAGAGAGTCAGCAAGAAGATGCACACGGAGCGGTCAAGGGAGAAACGAATAATTTGCGCGCTCGTACCGATGCGACGACAGAGATTGGTTTGAATATCGGGCGTGTACCCTAAAATACAGCGGCAATGGCCATCGCTTGGATCGCATTCGGCATTAGCCGGGCACCGCGACTTGGTGCACAACTCGTCTAAAGCGGGGGTGTTTTACATGCACTTGAGCGCAGACTGGGCGTTTGTTCGAAAACCCAACTCTGCTCTATCCTCAGTTAACATCTACGCAACTCACCAGGCAGACAGCGGTCACCATCTGGATGGTAACCAATCCGACAATAGCAGAGTCCGCGTTGACAAAAGGCATGTTCGCGGCATGTCACACCCAAACAGTCGGCTTGAACGCACTGCGCGCCCTGAGCTACAAAGGGTGCCTGACATTCGCATATGCCCGTGGCGGGATGGCAGCCAGCGTTGTCCACGCACGGCACACCAGCACATTTGTCTGTGACACATCATCACAGCATTGACCGGAAGATGCAGGCAAAGGTGCATAAGAATGAGTCGGCCTGCTGTCTTCTGGGAGACAGGCAACCAAACACAACTGCGAGGTTTGCTGCCAACGAACCGATAACGCATCGACGGCCCTGAGGCCTGTAGCCCAGATCACAAAAGCATCGCCCTTCGCGGCACACATTGTTGCGCTACGCAAGTTTTGGTCCCAATGCACATCCAGTGAGATCAAACGATGGACACGACGACAGACGGGGGTCAGCCGACCAGGTCTTTTCAAACAAAGGGCCTGTGCGGGTGTTCAGGTTGAGCCTTGCAGATCAGAACTCAGCAACGTACCGGGCACGTGATGTTGGTGCACGCAGCGTCGGTCACACAGCGACCATCCTGAACCTTGAATCCAGAGTGACAATGACACTTGCCTGAAGCGCAAAGCAAACATGACATCATGTCATGAGCCCAAGCCACTGCGGCTACTCAGTATATTTGAAAGGTTGGCAAGGTGAGAGTGTCCGCCTACCATCAATGGGATTACACGATGCATTGCCGCGACAAACGGCGTCTTCACACAAGTCTACGCAAATCACGAATTTCGGTGAAAGTAGGACGTGACCAGAGAGCAAAAGACAAGACGACAGACAGTCAGCGAGAACCAGGAGGAAGGTGGGGCGAGGAGAATCATCTCGACCTACTGTCAATGGCTTCGTAATCAAAGTCATCCCATGTCAGATCAGGCGGCAACACCTATTCGCATTGCAAAAAGATACAGCCGATGAATGGCACACCCCGAGGGAACAAAGGAAGGACCGGCCATTCCGCGGATAGAATGGCTAACCATTGTGATGCGCCGAATGCTGATTTCATAGTCACGACGCGCAATCACGGCCTGCAGCTTGATGGTTTTTGCAATGGCTTGTGCAAGCTGCTGCATGTAGGGCAATGGGGGAGCAAGACGAACAGCCTGGCGTATGCTAGCCATGGCGGTCAGGAGGTCGTTGGTGTGCTGCAAGACATGCGCGCAAGAAGGCCGATGAGTGACATGTGTGATGACAAATGGCCAGTTTTAAACCCAAAAAGGCGTGTGCAGGGGGAACCACGCGTGACATGGAAGGCCTATGCACGCGACTACCCACCACGGAAACAAGCGCTTGCTGAAGGTGCAAGAGAGGCACAGACTGGCACACGTCTAGGGCAGCATCAATGACCAAGCCGGCCTCCTCGAGTTGCTGTTGTGCCGAACAAGGAGATCAGCACGTTAAGAGGCGGCCATGCCGCTTGTTTAGGTCATGAGGCAAGAGGCAGGGATACTCACTTCAGCTCGAAAGAGCAAAGCTGCCAGATTACCAAGCACGATGCCGCGATATTGTTTTGGTGTTTGGTGCAAAGAAGCCTGAAGGCACTGGATACCCTGTTGTAGCGCACCGAATATGATATTGAACGTGAGCCCGGACATGTGCAGGCGGAATCCTCTGTGATATTCTCTGACCTCTTTGGCGTTGCCTTGCATGCGCCAGTATATACTGGCAAGCATGTTGAGCAGCCAACCCGTGCGTGCATTCATGGCTTGAGCAACAAAATGCCCATACGCTGCCACGGTTGGCAGGGGCGACTGTGATAGTATAGACCGGAGCGAAGCAACCAGGTAAGGTGGTCCGGCTTACGTGTGGCTGGTAATGGATCTGAGCAAGCCTGGGAAAAACAGGTGTTTTGTAGGCGCGACAAACCGTGGATACTTCAACGTCATGCCATGCCGCAGGCAGAAGGCTCGGTTCAGGAGGCAGCTTGAGGTTAGCAGCGTTGCCAACTGCCTTTAAATAGGACATATCAAGCGTGCTGTGGAGTGTGGGGCATGAATATGTATGCAAGGCAACAAGAACCGGGCGCCAAAGTTGTAAGAAGAGAATAAAACCCCCCCCTTGACCACGGTCAAGTCAGCAAAACGCATTTCATCGCAAGGGCTCGCGCAAGGGTGGTAAGTTGTGGGCACCTTGATTCCTGGCTTCGCGTACAGTGCGGCTCAAGCGACGGCGAGGCAGGGATGGCATTTTGGTCGAAGTAAAGTCGGGACCTGGAAAATATGACACCAAACGCAGCCCGAATAAATCAAACAGAGGCGTCAGGAAAGGAGGTGGGGTGGGGAATTTCGCATTACAACATCAGAGGACAAGCTGACAAGCTCGTGTGCTGATGCCGAGCATGCCAAGCGAAAGAGCTGAGACAAACGGACCGCAGGCCCCGGTGTGCGGGGAAGAGGGCCAGGCTGATGTTCAGAGACACTTCAGCCAAGGTGAGCTGCTCGCGGTAGTCGCGGAGCTTGGACAGCAAGTCCGGCATCGCCGTGGTCTTGCTGGGGCGGGTTGCATTTTTCAAAAGGAGATGGTCGATAGCAGCAGTCGCCGACCTAACCAGGCAAGCAAGACGACGTGTTCAAGTCTCATGAGACGGCCCAAAAATGGCCAAACAGAGTTGATACTGGCGACTTGACAGTGTGAGCCGACAGCCTCAGCTCGAAAAACCATTGTCGCATCCGTGGCACGGACATACCGGTAATAATCCATGCGTTCCTCGTGACGCAAGAATGACACAAGGTGGGGCGAGTGCGTTTGCGGAGGCCGATATAAAAAGTCCTCCTGCTCCGCAAGCACGCAGAGCACGGCAGTGAGCCGTTGGCAGAAGAAAGAAATAGGCGAGGGGTACAGCAGATGGCACACGAGCATACGCGGCGGGTGATGGTGTTGTGATCGGTGATCGACCAGTGGTTGGCAGCATGCACTTGTAGTAGCACGACCAAAGCTAGGACGACCGTGGCTCCGGCCACGGCCGAGAAGGGCCACATGTTGTCGTGCGCTCGATGGCTTCGACGCCCACTGACACCACCGTGCCGACCCGTCCCACTGCCCTTGCGTGGCGTGTTTCGCACACGCGCAGTCGTCCAGCGCCCGCCAGGGTCACTGCAGGACGTGGGGTATATAGCTTGGCTCAGTAAGGAGTTCTCACCCACTGGGCAAAGGCCCAGGTACGTGTTGACACGCCCAGGCGCCGGCGTATGTATGCTGATGGACATAGATTACAAACAATGAATGAGCAGAATGCAGCAGCGAGCGCAACAGCGGGGTCGAGTCCCGACAGACCTTTTTGCGTGTAGAGCAAAAATGCTCGGTCAGCCCGACCCACGCTCGCTCTGCAAGGTTCCACGCAGCAGCCACGCCGTGAGCCGAGCAAGCCAACAAACCCAAGGCCGCACTCCACCCAATCACATTGAGCCAACCCCAGCCAGACAAACAAAGCGACCGACCAACCGACAGGGGCACCCCCTCCGTCCGTCTGATCGACCAACAAAGAACAACAAAAATTCAGCAAAAAAAAAATCCGATACACACACACATACACACACATGTTGAATGTGGTTGTTGTGCTTTTCCTGCTCTTTACTTCTCTTGCTCTCGTTCCAATCGTTCTCTTCCCTCGTTTTTTAACAATTGTCCAAGACTTTAAAATGGAGAAAAGGCACTTGTGCACAAATGTATTTTACTTGTTTTGGTCATCGACTGCGGACATCAAACGTCATGCCCACCACAGCACTGGTCTGGGTGAGTGACGCGCCGAGGGCGGCGCGGGTTAAAGAACGGTCTTGAAAAATGGGATGCGAGGGGACAAGTTGGAGGATGGGATGGGAAGGAACCATTTGGCAAGCTGCGCATTGCCCGGTTCTGTCCGGCTGACCAGAGCTACTCGTCGTCACTTGTGTTGCCAGGGTGCCAACTCTTACGGCCAACTCGGCCTTGGACACCTGGAGGATGTGGTACGTCAGCGCCAAGCACCTCCACCAGCCGCCACCCATCCCTGAGCCAGTGCGCTAGAGTCCTGCGCTGGCGTCAGTTTTTGACCCGTTGTTGTATCTACTACGTGTCAAGGAAACCCCTTGTGCTCTGCCCTTGCCACCCGCCCTCGAAGCTGGCAGTGACACAGATGCCAGCTGGGTGGGAGATGGCGGTGGCGGCCATACCATCCTCTGCCTCAATACCACGGACGGGTATGTCAGCATGCGCCCCGAAACGGAGAAGCCATTGAGCCAAACTTAATCTTTATCCATGGGCATGCAATCCGTCTTGCAGACCCCCGCATATCTGCGTCTGTGGCTGGAATTCGGCTGGTCAGCTGGCTTTGAACAACATTGAGCCGCCGTGCGTGCCTCACTTGACCATGCTTCCCCCTTGGCCGGGGGTGCGTCGCGTCAACCGTGTGGCCTGCGGGTGGGACTTTACATACTTTGTGGTGGAGGGCGACGCCAGCTCTTTGCTGGTGTGTGGCAGCAACAAATACGGCCAGCTCGGCCTGCCCTCCTCAGTATCGCTGGCCATGGCAGCCACAGCACATCCCCTTGGCACAGCTCACCGCATTATAAGAGCGGCGGCTGGTATGCGACATGGTGGTGAGTCACACACGCAGACACACGCGCACACACACACACACACACACACACACACACACACACACACACACACACACACACACACACACACACACACACACACACACACACACACACACACACACACACACACACACACACACACACGCACATGCTAGTGCCACTCCTGTTCTGACTCCTTCCTGGGTCAAAGGCGTGCACGATCGCTCCAGTCTAACTTAACTGGCCGACTTGTTTGCATTCAACAGCTGTGGTGACCGCCAATGGTGCCGTGCTGACGGCAGGTCAGGGTCGACATGGGCAGCTGGGCCGGCCACTCGCCGATGCAGCGAGCTGTGACTTTGCCTTCGAGGCGTGTGCCATCCCTTCCGAGCTGTCATCCAAGACCCTAGTCGCCTGTGGGACTCAACACACGGTCATTGCCCACCACGCTACTGTGTGGGGGTGTGGTGCAAACAGACATGGGCAATTGGGGCGACACCCAACGACGCGAGCAGAGGCACGACGCGCATCCACGCTCTTGACACGATTGACAGATTTCTCGGTCCCCATCGCGGCACTACACGCTGGCTGGTCTCACACGACGGCAATTCTGGCCAATGGCCAAGTGCAGAGTTGGGGTCGTCGAGACTATGGTCAGCTTGGGGCTCCCCTTGATGTGGACTCTTCAACTCACGATTCGGCAGATCGGCTGTCGTGCGCCACATTAAGGGTCCCCGATGGAACCCGTGCGATAGCGCTGGGATCAGAGCACGCTCTTCTCCTCACTGCGGCCTCACCGGCTCGCATCCTGGCTTGGGGATGGAACGAGCACGGCAACGTGGGCCGTCCTCCAACCTCTGAGCCCATCGTGGAAACGCCCATTCCTGTACCCACGCACGGCCAACCCATTCTGGTATTGGCAGGTGGCGCACACTCAATCGTCTTGCAAGTCTGAGCCTGGGAAAGACCTGCTGAGCTGGGCAGTTTGATTCGCAAAAACCCCGGCAGCTGCATGACCTGGCTCAGATGAAAAGCCATTCGGCTCCTGTTTTCATCAAGACACCTTCGAAAGAAAAAAAGACGAGTTGACCACCGCCCTGGATGCGGCATCGTAGCTCTATCGCTCATCTTGGGTCATTTCGTATATCGACTCATTCTTGAATTAATCCCCTATAAAACTTTCCTGCCCAGCAATACCTCGTCTAACATTGCAGAACATGCTTTTCGCAAGCTCATGCCGCCGTCTTGAAAACAATAACATCACCATCTTGAACAGCATACTCCCGCCCCTCGAGACGGATCCAGCCGCGTTCCCGTGCCTGCGAAAAGCCACCCGCCTCCCTGCCGAGCGCGAAAGAGAGTGAGTTGCATGCTTCAAAAAGCGAAATCCAAGCCCTTCTGATACCTCGGCTGACCATGGCACTGTTGGAGCGCTATCAAAACATTGGGGTATGGCTACGTACAAGAGTTGATCCCAGGCAATGACCTCTGCTTTGATAAAGTGCTTTTCAAAATCAGAGTGAATCACGCCAGCAGCCTGTGGCGCCATGGCGCCTCGCTGCAAGCTCCAGGCCCGTGCCTCAGTGACGCCGGCGGTGAAAAAAGAAAGCAAGTCGAGTCGCTGATAGCTGGCTCGGACAAGCTTGCCCAACCCCGTCTGCGAAGGTGTCAAGCCCAAGTCCTCGAGAAAGAGCAGGCGATCCTCGGGAGGCAAAATTGCCAACTCGGACTCAAACTTGGCTGAGACCTGTGAAAAGAGTGATCGGTCACCATGGTATGGTGAGGAGGCACGGAGAAGAGGAAGGTAAATAAAAGGCAAGAACCGACACGCAGGGTTGGGGACAAAATTCTACGAACCAAAACGCCATGCTGCCCGCGCTCGGCCAATGCAGACACCAGCTCCGCCGTGGCACCCGTAGGCTCTGCGAGCTGGTCCTCCTCTGTGTTGATGGCATAAATCATCGGCTTGAGGGTAATAAGACCCAGGCTGCGCACAGCTGCCACCTCTTCCTCCGTCAGCTCACAAGCACTGGCTGGCAGCCCGCTGTTCAGCCCATGATGCAGTTTCTCGGCTGCGGCGTGCATCACCGGCTCCTTAAGGCGCAGATTTTTGTGTTTGGCACGCAAGCGCTCAATCTGCCCTAGATCCGCCAACTGCAGCTCAAGCTCGATAATGTCAATATCCGCCAGCGGATCGATGCGCTCTTCAACATGGGTCACATTCTCGTCAGGGAAGACGCGCACCACATGAACAACCAAGTCGCACTCTCGAATGTTGGCCAGAAATTGATTGCCCAAACCCGCCCCTAGCCTCCATCCCGTGCGTGAGGTGTCGCTCTTTGCAATGCGGTGCAATGCGTGAAAGAGCGAGAGCGAGAACGAGAGAGTGCGCCTGGTTCTGACCTTGACTGGCATCGCGCACCAAACCAGCAATATCTACGTATTGCAGGGTGGTGTAGACGGTGCGCTGGGCCTGCTGTTGGTGAGCCAGGCGATCAAGCCGTTCGTCGGGCAGCAGCACCGTGCCCACGTTGGGCTCGATGGTGCAAAATGGATAGTTGGCGGCCTCTGCCTGCGTTGTGCCGAGCAGCGCGTTAAAGAGCGAAGACTTGCCCACATTGGGCAATCCCACCAAGCCCGTCTTGAGTGCCCCCACTCGTCGGGACGTTGACAGCCGCGCCGTGCCGGCCCACGCTGCTCGCAGAGATGGCACGAACTGGCGCCCCCATGTCGCACCAAACAGCATGCCACCAGTTCGTTCCAACCAAGAACACGATGCAAACTGCCCTGAGCCCCGAGTCAACCCTGTCCGCAGTCAGTGCACGTGTGTGTGTGTGTGTGTTCTCTCTCTCAAACTCTCTCTCAAACTCTCTCTCAAACTCTCTCTCAAACTCTCTCTCAAACTCTCCTTTCAAACTCTCTCTCAAACTCTCTCTCAAACTCTCTCTCAAACTCTCTCTCTCAAACTCTCTCTCAAACTCTCTCAAACTCTTTCTTTCTCTCAAACTCTTTCTCTCCCTTTTTGCTTCTCTCTCCCTCTCTCTCTCTCTCTCTCTTAACGTTTTTCGCCAGTGGGGCACACACACGCCAAAAATGGCAGGACGTGGGTCGGCGCAACTGGGGGCCTATTTGGAGCAGAAAAGCTCAGTTGGATCGGAAAATGCGCCATCACCGCTTCCACCCTTTGATCCCTTGGCCTCAGCTGATAATATCAACAGCAGTTGGCAGAGACCTCCACCGCCACGTCCGCCGCCGCCCCACGACTATGATGCGATGTCTGATGTGACGGAGCTGCTTTGTGAACAGCGCGTCGTTGATCCCACAATTGCCACGGGCCTGGGCGCCTTTGACTTTCGCTCCCGGCCTCGTGCCTGGGAATATGGCCCAGTGCTTCTTGGAAGCGAATCCTGGCCACGTCGTCCACACCAAGTTGTTGATCACTCGGCCCAAGCCATGCAAACGGCTTCCTCGTCCATGGCAGCTCGACCGCATCAAGTGCCTCTGGCGTCTCAATCAATGATGCCCAAGAACCACGTCTACCAGCATACCGACCCGTTTGATGGTTGCCGCCGCATTCTTCGATCTTGGCAGCAACATCCTTTCTCGACCACACCAAGATGAAGACCTGCTCTGTTGACCCACGACGTCCAACTATGCCCCTGACGGCCCTCAAGGTTCGTTCCTGACTCTTGGCCCGGGCGCTGAAGTGCACACCAGACCAGCGTGGGCTTGGCACATGATGATCGAACATGCAGAAATTTGAACGCTGATTTTTACTTTTCGTGCGGACATAATACTCGCGTGATGCCAATGAACCCCCGCCTCGCTTCCAGCATGTGCCGTTGGTGGTGTTCTGATACGGGACTCACCCTAAGCCCCTTTTGCATTGCCCATGCTTTCACAGGAATGGTCTCCCTGTGCTGGTGGCCGCATACCGGCCATCTGCGCATTCGTGACAACAGACTTGGTGCAACAGCACGACTCGACGTCGCATCTACGTCGCCTGCCGCACATCTGCGCATATCCCCAAGTGCTGCTGCATTCGTCAAAACTATCCGCCAGAAAATGAAGCAGCTCTTTTAAACCGAAGAAGCGTCAACAGCTTTTGGCAACCATGATGTGCGAGTCACGTGAATATCGTTCGTCCAAGAACGATCACCGTCGTGACAGTTTCGACTGCCAGTGCTCTTGCCTAACATCTTGTGTCTTGTCATTTGAACAAATAAGAGATGCACTTCAAAGCCCAAGCATTCCACTCGTCGCTGAATGCGCCCAACGCGCCTTGCAGCGGCATTTCGAAAGGCTGTTGTTCGTTCGCGCAGCCGTAGCTCACTGCTTTGACGCCTGGCACACCTTGCTTTTGGTCGTTGCCTCGGATATTGACACCTATTTTATTTTAACATGAACAAGTCCATGTACTTTGTAATTGTTGTGAGTTCTTCCTCCTCCTCCTCCTCTGTCCGCGATGCCAGCTGCTCGGTACACGTCTGGCTTCAGATAGCCACTTCGTCGTCCTGCTGGACGATGTCAACGCTTTGAATCGGATGCCAATGACGCAAAGGGAGTGTCAAAGTGGGAAACGAACAGCGAAGCGCTAGGCATTGACATCCCAGTTGAGTCAACTGCAGCGTTTGAAATGTCCCTCGCTCGCAAACGCTTTCGAAAGAGCGCGTGACAGTGCTCGAGCGCACCAAAACGAACAGAGCAGGTCAAAAGAGAATGGAACAAGAAGGTGAAACCGTGGTTACCAAAGGGAATGGATTTGAAATACGTCAAAAGCCCAAAGTGAGGCTGGGCTCAGCTTCCGCCGGCTCGCTCGGCGGGCCAGACAATAGGAAGATGGCCCCGGACTGGCTCATTGATCAGTCATGAAGAGGGTCATGGATTTCGCTGCATCTTCCTGAGCTGTCATATTATCACGGCCACCGGAACGAAGATGATACCCAATGCATGATAACTGCAAAGCCGGCTGGGAATGTTTGCCATCATGCTTCTCTGGCTGGCCTGGATGATCAGCTGTCAGCCCATACAAGTCATCGTGTAGAAGAGGAAGCCCCACGGCAGCCAGGTGGGCGCGCAGTTGGTGGCGCATGCCTCTTGCAAATGTGCATTGCACATCCAGAGGCACTTCGTTGCGAGTGCTCAAGCATCGCCGTAGCTGGCGTACGTCAATACTGATCAAGCTCGTGCGCACTGGGCCCAGCTGCGATCGGCCCCCCTGATATTCTCGTCGAGACGGGCTAGAATTGGAATTCGTCGGATCCGTCGCTCCATCACTGCGCCTCGGTGCTGCCTCGGCGGACCAAAACGTGAGGCGTTTTTCGTCATCAGGGGTTGTGACATCATCAAACTGATCGGTTGGATGTACAAAAACCCGGTCGCCTCGCTGTTCAAGGCCGCTTTTGATGCGGAGCACTAGGCGTCGAGGTGGGGCAGCAGGTGCATCAGCTTCCAACGCCAAGGGCTCAGGAAAAATATCGATGAGGACTCCGAAGCGGCTTCGGAGATTGCGTGCCTGCACGCCTCGCTCGCAAAAGGCTTGAAAGTGGGCTCGCAGGTCAGAAAGGGGGTGAAGCAGGCAGCGCGCAGCATAAACTGGCTCAATAAGTTCGGCCTGGCGTAGCTGACGGTAGGCCGCTAATGTCCGCTCGTTTGTGGCTGCCAAAACCCATCCACTGGTGGCGTTGTCCAAGCGATGCAGCAGGCCTTGTTCGGGCAGAGCCAGCTGAGCCGCTGCGGAGGCCGGAGGCTGTTCAAGCTCACGTACAAGACATGCCACATCCAGCTCAGTTTGGGGGGTAGCAGAAACAGGCACTCCATTGGCCCCTGAAGTGGCAGCGTCAGAGCCTCGTTGTCCCAGATTCTTGATGCAGCGCAACATGGAAGCATCGGAAGGTGTGATGGTCACCGGTTCAGTCCCGGCACAAGAATACGTGCCAGCCAGCTGCCTAGGGTTCAGATTCGCTTTTAATCCTTGACCTGGCTTGAGCTGGGCACGCCGGGCTGCCGCCAGGAGGCCTTCCAGGCTGACTGGGTCTGCGCAGTCCAAGGAGAGGGTGGGCAGGTTATGCGGCTTGAACACCGCGATCAAGCCAGGCATAGCCGTAGGTCGTACTTGCAATTCCCGACGTTTCTGGCTGAATGCCCGGCCTGCAAATACTCACGTAAAACAAGAACAATTGTTCCGATCATTGTCAAGCCAACGCCTCGGACAGCCCCTGCAGCAACATGTATCATCATCCAGGCATCAGAAGCGATGGCGCATACCGGCGCAGGAGATCTCAATGTTGGCTTGATCCGAGCTGTAATTCACTTGGAGACGTCCACGCCTGATACCGTCTGTTGAAAAACAAATCCAAAAAAGTGGTCCCGTGCAGCGCAGCAGATGCACCATAAGCAGAGATGCAGCGGTTTCTTTGGTTGACAGCGTGACTGTGCCTACCTTTGGCCCGAGACAAGCTCATTCCACCCGGCGCTTGATGCTGAGCAGAGCGGCATGTGGTGCAGTTATCGATACGTTGCGACGATGGGCATACGGACAGCGGTATTAGGCAATGGGAAACAGGCCAGTAGCCCACAGACCTGCAAGACTGCCTGCACCAACTTTGGCAACGGAGTGCTTTTCAAGTCCAACACTCGTGGCAGCGTGGCCAGCAGCACGCGCGAAGGCCCGCGTGTGCGTGTGGTCATGCCAGCGGTCTGTGCTTGACAAAAAACACTTTGATGTGTCATTCATCCTTTTCACCCAAATTTACGATTTTATTTTACGAAGTCAGTAGAGTTGTTGACACTTGTTGTGTATTTCGAGCAATGATGCTGTGGCTTAAAATTTGTAGATTGACATGTGACAACATGAAACACACGCGCGCACACACCACACACACGCCACCTGCGCAACACAAGATACGATAGCAACCCTAGCAGGACACTCGGTGCCCGAATAAGAACAAATTAGACTCTGACGCACTACAACCGGTGACTAAGGCGCGTCGTGGGCGTTGATGGATGAGGGCTTGTCGTGCCTCAAGAGCGGGGCCTCTTCATCGTCGCGTAAAAACAGGGCCTCAATCTCCTCGAGAGATTTGCCCTTGGTCTCTGGCACCTGTGAAACGGAGTAGATGGTCGCGAGAACGCAGACACCGGCGTACAGCCAGAATGTGCCATATTCTGTCATGGCCTCGGTCAGGGATAGGAAAGAGAGGGAGACACCCATGTTGAAGATCCAATTGGTTGCGGCAGAGTATGCGTTGCCCGCGGCACGCAAATGGGTGGGAAAAATCTCCGAGTTGATAATCCAGGGCATGGACGTGAGGCCAAAGGCGAAGGAGGCCAAGTACGCGCACAGGCCAAAGATGGCCAAATTGGCATAGCGATTGGGACAGTATTCTGAAACCGCAGATACGAGGCTGTTGTCAGGCAAAGTGCCCTTGGAATAGAAGGAGCTTCCGTTGCAAGCGTCGCCCGCTACACTTTGAGCCGTAAGGCTCATACAGCTGCCGCCTGACACAGACCCGCAAAAGCCGCAAGCATCATGCTGCAAGCAGGTGTAGCAGGAGCCAAAGTCGCATTCAGCCCCGTTCCACGTGGCTGGGGCTGCGCGATTATCCGCAAGGAAAAAGGCCACGCCGATGATAACTGAGCTCACACACAGGGCGACGCAGGACCAAATCAGCAAGGGGCGGCGGCCAGCGCGGTCCACCAGTACCAGCCCCACCACAGTAAACAGTACAAAGACAGCATCAATGCCTAGATTGAGGGCGGGCATGACCGATTCACAGAGAGCATTGTCAGGCAAGCGCCAAATCAAGAGCAAACAGAGCGCAAGACAGCGTTATGACGTGGAAACTGGGGATGTCAACGGAGGCACGTAAGCCAAGGGGGGTCAGAACAATGTGCGCTCGTACCGGCTGAAATCCACATGGTCATCGTGTCGGAGCGGATGCCAGCCATTTTGAGGATGCTGGAACTATAGTACATGATGCTGTTGATGCCCGTGACCTGATTAATGATCTACAATCAGAGAGTTTCAACCCGGCAGAGGAGAACAAGCATGAGGTGTGTGGTTGGGATGAGGGCACGAGACATCGCACCATTCTAGCGCTTCAAACCGAACGTGCACGCGACCTGAAGCATGCATGCCATGAAGAGCATGCGGCGATAGTGAGGACGGCTGAGTAGGTCTTTCAGGCCCCCCGATGCCTGAGTGGTTGCACTGGTGATGGCGTGAAGTTCTTCTTCAACGTTGTCCGTGTCGCGTAGACGCTGGAGCACAAGGCGGGCCTCGTCGACACGGTGCTTCGAGACGAGGAAACGCGGAGATTCTGGTAAGAACAGAAAGCCTACGAGTTGAATAATGGCTGGAATGGCAGAGACCGCAAACATGTAGCTAGGACAAACCCCCCTCCAATGAGCACTCTGGACACAATGCCTGAAGGATGGGGCCATAATGGCAAGAGAGCAAAAAAAAAAAAAAAAAAAAAAAAAAAAACCATATCAACAGCGTACCGCCAGCCGTGTGGCGTATGGCTGAGGGCAGCATCAACCACGTTGGCAATCATTTGGCCCGAAGAAATGCAGACAGTATTCATGACAGTCAGAGTGCCACGCAGGTGACCAGGCGCAGCCTCGCTGATGTAGCTCTAACCAGAGTATGAAGGGTGAGGGCCCCAAGGTGATGGCCAGGAACTTGCACGGGCATGCACAAGTAAACGAGCATCACAGGCAAAATTTAAAATATAAAACACCGACCGGCACGGTGGCGGATGCGATGCCCACACCAAGGCCCACAACAGCGCGTCCTGCGCAAATGCAATGAGGAGGAAGAGGGCAACAAAAGGTGGCTGATTCAAGGCATGCCCTTAAACTGACAGAGCAGGCTGATTGGCTGGCTCATGTGGTGAAGCAATCACGAACCGATGGCGAGATGAATCCAGCTAGGCGCAAACGTAAGTTGAGCAGCACCGGCGATAAAGACCACCGAGCCGACCATGATTCCGGGTTTTCGACCAAAGCGGGTGGAGATGTAGCCGCCACCCAAGCTGCCGACAAAGGCGCCGCCCACGGTCAGACTGACGACAAGCTCTTGCTGGAAAGTGTTCAGCTCAAAGTCACGCTTGATCAGCAGCAGGGCACCCGAGATGACCGAGGTATCAAAGCCAAACAAAAAGCCACCGAGTGCCGCCAGCCCTGTGGCACGGGCGAGCGAGCGGTATGAAGCAAAGCACAACAAATCATGAAACAAGACAATCACCTCTGAAGGTGGCACACACCAAATCCAAGCGGATCACGAGACCAGCAAAGGATACCAACGATCCGAATCACCTACCAGCCAACATGATCATGCGCCAGGTCAACTTGGGCGGCGGACCGGTCAAGGGACCGACCGAGCCGTCGACAACACCGCCATGCACCATCGCGCCGAGTCGACAAGGTGGCCGTATTTAATCTGCAATTTTGTTACTTTAACCATCTGCTGTGAGATTACTGTATCTACTACATCCTAATTTTATGCTGCACAAACTGTTTGTGTCGAAAACGCGATATCTCGCCACGACAAGTCTAATCTGTAGCATGGTAGTTTACATATTAAAATCAGATCAACGACAACAAGTTATCATTCTCCCTCAATAACATTTTGCCAGCCTTGCGCTGCTACCACATGATTTTAAGGGCCTCTCTGTCTCTCTGTCTCTCTCTGTCTCTCTCTCTGTCTCTCTCTGTCTCTCTCTGTCTCTGTCTCTGTCTCTCTCTCTGTCTCTGTCTCTGTCTCTGTCTCTCTCTCTCTCTCTCTCTCTCTCTCTCTCTCTCTCTCTCTCTCTCTCTCTCTCTCTCTCTCTCTCTCTCTCTCTCTCTCTGTCTGTCACTTGTTCCTTGACGGCGAGTCGAGCAGGAAGAACACCCAAAAAAAAAAAAAAATAGTTGTGGTCTCAAAGGTTTATTCCGCCGGAAG